ATCGATACATGTGGAACCTACTACTTAGTTGTACTCATTGTTCAAGTTAAATGAGTTATGAATCTCTTGGCGTGCCGGGATTTTATAAAGCGGTAGGTGATAAAAGAAAGAACATTAATTTTGCAGTTAAGTAGGAACGATGAACACGAAATATGTCCCATGAACACAGTTCTGTGACAGTTTTTTGTCGGTTTCTTCGCAATTAAGAGTTAATATTCCGGGTTCTATGGGTGAACACAACTTTAAGATAGTTTCTGGCCGTTTCTACGCAATGAAAAGTAATTCCGGATTTGCTGGTAAAACTGCCTTTAGCATTTTTTATTTTAGGTACCTACGGACTAAACAAAACCTAGGACTAAATAAAATTAGATGGTCACATACTGTAGAGTACGCTTGTTTGTAATAACAAACAAGGTAAAACCTACGATAAAGCTAAGAGATCTGTCCATGCCTTCGTTACAATGACATAAAACTCTACATTAGCAAATTAATTTAATTAATTTAATTGGCCGTAGGTGTGCATATAAATAAAATAGCTATTTATGATCGTAATATAAAAACTATAGGTCACCTAGGTACTTACAGCTTGAAGAACGTCGTTGAGTTATTTTTCATCAAAACATTCTTAGAAAATAGATATCTATTTAGTAGATATGACTTTGAACAACCCGAATTCAGGATTGATTAGTTTTATCAAAGCTATACCAGTCTTCCTGGGCTGCGTTTAAACGCATCCTCCCCAACCTCGGGGGGCCAAACGCCTCCTGCCGGAGGTTATACGCCGGGGTCGTGCGGTCCATGGCCCTCTACGGCGCCCCTGTTTGGGCGCCAAACCTGTTGCGGCGTCCCGCTCGGACGCTGCTCATGGCACAGAGGGTCATGGCGATCCGAATGATCCGCGGATACCGCACGATCTCTGGGGAGTCGGCGAACCTCCTTGCCGGATTACCGCCGTGGGATCTGGAGGCGAAGGTGCTCGCGCGCGTGTACAGCATGCGCGCGGAGGCACGTCGCCGGGGCGAAACCCCGCTGCCGCGCCAGATAGGTGCGTGGCGGGATGAGCTCCGGCGCGATCTCATGGCGGAATGGCAGCAACGACTGTCGCAACCGAGGGCTGGGCTCGCTGCCATCGCAGCGGTAAGTCCCCTCTTTGAGGAGTGGCTTGAGAGACGCTACGGCGTCCTCACCTACCGCCTGACGCAGGTCCTCACCGGACATGGAAGTTTCGGGAGGTACCTGTGTCTGATGGGGCGGGAGGAAACGCCCGGGTGTCATCACTGCGAGGACCGCCCTGAGGACACGGTGGAACACACGGTGGGAGAATGCCCTTCGTGGGCTGAGCACCGCCGTGTCCTCAGGGAAGTGATCGGCGATGGCGACCTCTCGCGTCCGGGCCTAGTGCAGGCCATGATGCGGAGCGAGGGGGATTGGGATGCCGTCTCCTCCTTTTGCGAAGCAGTCATGCTAGCTAAGGAGGAGGCGGGACGCGTGAGGCAGCGAAGCGCTGCCTCCTCGCAACCCAGCCATCGCGAAGGACACACCGGGCGTCGGGGATCGCGGGACGATCTCCGGCCACCGTAAGCGCGGGCCTGCGGACGGCGAGCATGGGTGGCTCCCCGTCCGACCAGAAACAGACCCGAGCGTACGGCGCGTCGCGTTCCGCGCGCGCCTCAAAGAGCCATCAGACCACCACAGATGGGGCCCAATAGGGCTGATGCCGATTCGGAGTCGCGGAGAACCTAACGGGTAATCGCGGCTCTGGCTCGACGTGCAGGAGAAGGAACGGGGTGGTTTTTAGTCAGTAAGAGTCTGACACTCCCTCCCGCCTCACCCAGGCGGGAGCAGTCATTTGATAATTTTCCCCCCTTAAAAAAAATACCAGTCTTCCTGGATGCAATAAAAATTGCCATTATACAATAGAGTATCTTAAGCTCCCTACACAGTGCCACCGGCGACTGGACCATAATAACTGTCTTGGTTAAAACAACAGACTTCAACGAGAACAGTTTTAAGTATTAATTACTTATTGAAGAAAACTCGAACTTTAATTTAAGCACTAACATTATAACGACATAAGAATTATTAATTTTTACATTTTAGAATATTCCACTATAGGTTATTTTTCTTTCTTATAAAAACTGTAAAAAATTACCACAATTATTTTTCTTTAACTCGTCGAGTACCGGTTTTGTAGACACAATTATAGAACAATAGGTTGCGGTCACCGGTGACCGCTTGGTGTTTGACAGTTTAAGCAGGTGCATGTACATAGCAGCTTCAGAAAATATTCCTGTACGTTATAATAATATCGGAAGTTTAGATAATAAAGATAAATAATAATTCGCTGCTCAATCCAGTAATAGCACAGGGGTCATCCCCAAAACACTACACACAAGTCTAAAGACCGTTGATTAAATCATCACAAGTCTCATCCCCAAAGTTGCTTTGACCAAAAGTCCGCAACTCTAGTGTTTTATCCTTAATCCTTGAATAAATAATAAATACACATAAAATAATAATAATTCTCCATTAACTAAATTTTTAAATAAAGTTTACTCTATGCATTTATAATTTGTTTTTCTTCATAAACTGAATTTTAAAGTTTTATTCGGACAGCCACACGGGCAGTGCAGCTGTCCTGTCTCAAAAATTGCTTAATTTACATTTTGATTTCTAGATACCCGATGGTGCTACAACGCCGACCCTAGTCTCGTCGTTGTAACGAAACCATAGCGCGATTCAGGATTTAGAGGGGGTTGGTCAACGCCATCTATCGAGACGACAAGAACTAAAATGGATGTGAATTATATTTAGTTTAAACAAGTAAAATAGTATAAAGAAATGGTTTTTCGTCTTCTAGACGTAAGTTTTAGGTATTCCCACAGATCTTTTTGTAGTCTGATCATTAAGATAGGTCAAAGCTTAACATTATTTTAATAATCGACTTCCAAGAAATGAAGTGGTTCTCAATACGGCTGTAGGATGTTTGAAACAAAATTAATCGTTAAACCCGTCATTGATACCTTATATTAACCTGTGTACAATTTTATGACAGATTATAACTTTGACCTAAGTAAGTTATATTTTGTTATAGGCTTGTAGCACTGACTACTAACCTATCAGTGGGTGGGTAACATTTATAAGTAGGTACGTATGACTAATGATACTTATTTTTTGCTTTTTAGTTTAGTACAAGGCTATACAGACCCAGTATACTACGTATATCCACATGGGTGCAAAGTTCTCATCATTACAAATGATTGAAGCTCAAACATCAAGTAGCTACTGTTAACCATTTAGGAGTTCCCTTAGCATCATACTACTTCATCTGGTGGTAGATATCTGTGCAAGGTGGTAGTTATCGATGCAGGAAACCAGTGCTCAGGGAGCTGGTCTAAAATCCTTGAAGCCGGATGCCTCTATTAACAGTTTATCTTTATACATGTGTTCGAGTGATCCAAAAAAAACAATATAAAAAAAGTTATCAGTTCCCTAATGACAAACACACAGCATCTAGGTGTCAAGGTCTCATCAAAACAAATTAATCAAGCCCAAACACTAGGTAGGTTCTGTTAACCGTTGAAGAGTTCCCTTAGACATCTTAATACTTCATTGGACCATAAACACTGTCATGGTTAAAACTGCAGACTTCTACGAGATCATTTTTTTATTAATTATTGAAGCAAACTCAAACTTCAATTTAACTCGTTGAGTACCGTCATTGTAGACACAATTATAGAACAATAGGTTGCGGTCACCGGTGACCGCTTGGTGTTTGACAGTTTAAGCACTAAAATTACAACGACACAGGAATTATTTCGCGTTTTATAATGTTTCACTAGGTTATTTTTCCATCTTATACAAACTGTTGTTGTTGAATAAAAATTAAATTATCACTATTTTTTCCTCGGTGTCTTGAACATAGACATTAGACGCCGCAAAATATATTCCTGTACAATAATAAAGTTTACATAATAAGGGTACATTTATAATTTGTTTGTCTTCATAAACTGAATTTTAAAGTTTTATTCGGACAGCCACACGGGCAGTGCAGCTGTCCTGTCTCAAAAATTGCTTAATTTACATTTTGATTTCTAGATACTCGATAGGGGTACAACGCCGACCCTAGTCTCGTCGTTGTAACGAAACCATAGCGCGATTCAGGATTTAGAGGGGGTTGGTCAACGCCATCTATCGAGAGGACAAGAACTACAATTGTTGCGAATTATTTTTAGTTTAAACAAGTAAAATAGTATAAAGAAATGGCTTTTCGTCTTCTAGGCGAAGTTTTGGGTATTTTTACAGATCATTTTATAGACCATATTACATTAAGATAGGTTAAAGTTTAAAATTATTTTATTATGTCACGACTTTCCACAAAAAATAGAAGGTAATTTAAAAAAATGCTGACTCATGGTAAAACTTAATATTAGAGGTATACTAGCTTCTGCCCGCAGTATCGTTCATTTAACATTGTTTTAAGATGTGAGAGGCATCCTTAAAATCCTACAAAAAAATTACACGATTTTTGTTACGTTAGATACGTCATTTGAAGAATACATGCATTCAAAAATAGGTGGATTTTAAAGTTGCCGCTTCGTAGACCATTTTTTTATTATGGTGTCTAATCTAAGCAATATGCAAGCATTTGTCATTTATAGGCCACCTTTATCATTGACGAATGCATGCATTCGTGAATGACGCAGCGTGCTCAGTAGAGTCTACGACGCATTATTTGACGAATTAATTTAACCAGAAAAAATTACAAACGACCTGCATCTTTGTTTAGAAACAATGAAAACTGTCCACGAAACGGCAACATTGCGTCACTTACTCCACATACAAACTCGCATAAAATTCTCATAAAACCAATCGCAAACCACTACCACTCGAATGTTGGAAACGAACTGACGCCAAAAAGTGCTGACATCCGCCAACTCTCCCGTAGCGTGTGAGCATTCTACGAGCCAATTTTAACTTGTATTTTCTTTGTCTCGCAGAAGAATCCTAAAAGATGACGACCGCAAGTATGCTCCTGACGGTGGCGACTACATGGAACGTCTCTACCGACAAGATTGACAAAGAAGGGTGTCTGAGCATGGCCACAAAGCATGTCACCGCTGAAGCTGCCAAAGAAGTCCGCGAGAGTCAGTCTACGAAGGAACAGGCGCTGGCCATCATGAGGGAGTGGATACAGCAGAACATTGACATTAAAAATGTCCGGCAAGGTACGCACTGAATATAATCTCCAGCAAATCCCCTTTTCTATTTATTGCTATTTTGTTCTTCGTCCTCGCGGGGAAATCATGCCATTCGGCGCGAAATATTTGTCGGTTTAGAAAGAAATAAATTCCTTTGTTTACATCATTAGATACATACCAAACTTTGTTTACAAATATTTCTCTGAATTGTTTTATATTTGCCGAAACACCTTCGTGTTTAGACGCAATACAAGAATATTGCGCCTACACAATTATCACGCTACATAAAAATACAATAATTGCAAATAAAATTTCAATGGTTGATTACCACCTTTATCTCGTTAATATTTACCGCCTGTCAAAAACCCTGAACATCCGAGGAGAAAGGATAGACATACAGATATTAATATGTTGCTTTTAAATTACAAATCTAAGGTGATTCATTGCTAAATATAAAAATTAAGTTTGCATTTTTGCAATAAGGAGAACGTTCGTTCGAGTTTGGTCTAAAGGACGTCGGGAGATGAAACCCAGTGAACGTACCTAACTCCTATGTATATGAACGTAGATTATCCAATTATTAATTGTTAAACATGTTATAAAGTAGAGTAGGTGAGTAGGAGAATTGTGGAAGACATTGCTACCGAACTCTTATCAAAAACCTGTTGGAAAAAACAAGCCTAACTGATCAGGCAAAACGTATTTTGCGACTAGGTACCTACTGAAATAACAAAAGTACTGACATGCATTGTATCTGGGTAACGTGGAAGATGTCTTCGCGTATGTGCTCTTGGGTAAATATTATTAAGATATTATTAATATAGTAGTTACAAGGTCAATTAAAGTGTCAATCATTTTTTTCTCCATCTGTGGCGATTTATTTATGGTTTAATTTATGTTATACAACTGGTTTATCTAATAAATAAAGTAGATTTCATCGTTCAACACCCATCGAACCAAAGGTTCATTTTCTGACCAAAGTCCATATCAAAAAATGTCCGGTGTCTCTTGTCCAATCAATATTGTTCCGGTGTATCAGAAATAAAACATTTATGTTCGATTGATTTCATCGTCAAAGTTGATTCGTAGAAGGACAGGTGACGTAATTTTATTAAAAAAAAAACATTTTATTAGATAGGTGTTTTCGTTGTAGCCAAGTAGGCACCTATATAGGAGATAGATACGTCGTAGTAATCTCGTCTCATTTTTATTTGTGATCATCACATTTTTTACTAAAAATAAGTAAAGGTATATATCCGTCTTTAAAATCTTTATAGTAGGTCTTTAATCCAATTAATTAAATTATTTTAAACATAATTATGAAATTAATCATAATTATATATATTTTGGCTGGCTTGCTTGGGTGTATTTCAGACGAGTATAGGAAGAATCTTCTACCTACATACATATATGCATGCGTGCCTAATGAAATCGTGGTTTTGATCAACTTCTTTCTATCTTTCTTCTGGTGTTCTCCACTTAATATTTCTCATTCCTTTACATTAGCCAGTTCCATTGGCGTAACTGGTGGCATGCTAGCAAAATGCCGCAGGCCCCAGCTGGAAGGGGCCTCCGTTCAAAGAATTTCATATGAACTTCTCTATTTTTTATTGGGAAAGGGGATACATTCGATTAAAGTGTCACAAGTGTAATAGTTACGCTACTGCCATTAGCCATGCATTTGTCTATGTTCCATTCCATTTCCATTCGCTAATATGTTTTGCTTATTATTTTTTAAGTTACTTCGTGTTGATAATTTTAGACTCGAAAGCAATGTGCCTTAAACTTAGACTTAGCCATAATTACATCGTCACACCAGATCAGAACAATCGACCATTAAATTTACTCTTTCGACATTTTTGAGATGTAAATCAATATGATCAATTGTTGTAGTTTAATAACGTGAACGTGTTTAAATGTCACTCAGTCATGAAATATCTAAACTGGTTAATTTATTTATATATTCCATTCGCTTATTACAAAATATATTGTGTCTATTAGGTCAATAGGGATTGTGGTGGTTTGCCTGTAAATACCTGTAAATTTGCCTATCTACAATCTACGAAGTTTATTAATCTAGACGAGATTCCAGTATTTCAATTCTAAATTCATTGGTTCCATCTGTTACAGATGAATCATTTCTACTTCGATTTTTACGCCACAAGAAGTACAGTATCCCGATGGCCCAACAAACTCTGCTGAAGTACTTGAGCTTGAGAAGATACTATCCCGAAATATTCAAGAACATCGACTGCGATGACCCAAAACTAAAGGATATTCTCAGCAACGGGTAAATATCTAAATGTTTGTCAACACTGCTAAATAGATATGACAAACCCGCCATTATTAATTTATTAATGTTTATGTACATATTGTTGCACACATGTGAAACTCACTTAAACCTATAACAGACCAGTATGTAAGCGTGAATGAATGAATCCACGACAATTGTATTACACAAATAGAGCTAATAAACAAAGTGAAATTAATGGTTCCAAATAGTAACAAAGCTAACCCACTAACATGGTTTCATAAGATAGTGCCTGACTTACGTAACACAGCTTTATTTTAGTTATGTGGCCATTTATCTGGCTCCATAGATGTGCCAGTAGAAAGTTCCCACGTATATGTACTAAGAGCCTTGAACTCAGCGGACTGTCTCGGGTTCCCCGCATTGCGAATACGCTTCTTATGTAATTTTCACTGTGATATAATTCCATCTTGGAATTTCATAACCATTTCCTAATTTCAAGGTACATAGTGGTTTCACCGGTTCGAGACAGCAAGGGTCGTCGGGTCATCGTTTACAATATGAGTAAGGAGATTTTTGTTAAGTATGGCGTAATATTAAAATGCGTGCGATGCAACTGCGACTATCATGTATACAAGTGAAACCTTACGCGAATTAACTGGACTGCGAAATTTACAATACTTGATCTAAATGCATAACTTTGATGAAATCAAAATGTGTAGTCTCAATTACTGCTTAATTCATTGTTTAGATTTTTGTAACGCTTTGCGTTGGTGTATGGAGAGCTGCAGTGGTGTTCAATTTAAAATTACTTTGTTAGGTAAATTCAACGCTCATAAATACAACTGCTGGGACATGTGCCGAGCTCACTTGCTGGTGTACGAGAGCTTGCTGGAAGACTCCATGGACCAGATGTGCGGTTACGTGCACGTGGGTGATGGCAGCGGGGTGACCGGAGCACACATCACCACATGGAACCCTACAGACTTCGCCCGGCTCATGAAATGGGGAGAGGTAATTTTTTCCAAGTAATTGTTTTTAGGATCCCTTCACAATAACGTCTTTGTTTTTCTCTTTACTCTAGTGTTTCCCTACTAACTTAGGTTCAATATAAATTTTGAATTTGGAACAACCGCTATCTGCCTTTTACAATACATAGTGATAACACCAGACATTATTGTTTGTCAGATCACTATAGGTCTTCACGATGTTTAACAACTCATTACTTCTACAAAAATTAACATCTAAGTATCTGGGGACCGCAGAACCAAATTGCCACACTGTCCTTATTAGGGGAATGATACGTATGTAGATAAAGCATCCCTTTCCGAGAAATCTCATATTTGAAATCGTTCTGCAAAGTACCCGTCCTTGTGTTCTTATATAATCAATATGAAGTAATACTTTACGTTGATCGTGTCGTGAACATAGGGAGCAAGGTTATTTTCTCGGATGACGCAAAGTCCGCGGGAACTTTCGTAAAAATTGAGCTTGAGTAAACATTAGGAGTGCCATCGGATATGGGTGTGTGTGTACCAAGCATTTACAATTGTAGAGAGCAGTAGGTTTGTTTGAACTTTGCATCAAATTAGCACCAGATCATAATACTTCAACAAGGGAATTAATTATATAATTAAAGGTCCTAAAATAAACCTAGGCAATTATGGCATTAGACAGACCGTGCAGAACAACCTGTCACGCACTGAGGGCAAACAAACATGATCTCACTTTCGTGATACCCATTTAACTTAATGACGGTATATTATGTGTTGCAGCAATCGATGCCCATGCGCCACAAGGAGTTTCACTGTGTAAACGTACCGACTGCCCTCAAATATGTCGTCGACTTCGCAGTTAGTAAAGTTACCCCCAAAATGGCGGAAAGACTAAACGTGAGTGTTTTGAATAAACTTTACATTTTGGATGATATAAAAGAAACGATAGAATATTAAAATCACGAACCACCATTATTTTTCAGATCCACACCAACCTAAAACAACTGCACCAGCACATAAATGTTGAGTCCCTACCAACGGGATACGGAGGTCCATTGAAAATCGAAGATATGGTCAAATTCACATCGCAGTTAGTAAACGAACAGAAAAAGAAAGTTCTTGGTCTGGACACAATGGAAATCCTCAGCACTAGAGGTATCATCTCTTCGAGGAGACCTAACACCATCGTAGTGAACGGAGACGTTGCGGTACAAGGGAGCTTCAGAAAACTAGAGATAGATTAGGCTACTGTATTGTTAGTAATGTTAAACTTTTACTTGTTAGTTAATCTGTCTGTCGTACTCGTGCGCCCTCGAGCACCACTGACTTTAAATATATTTTAGCACTGAAAATTAAATGCTCTGATTAAATATTATTCGTTTAGGGACCTACATATTAAGATAGAATTATTGTATTTTAGTGATTCTTGTATGTGTAAAAAGACTTTACAAGGTGGATGGCAAATAGATGAATAGACATTTACCATTATTTAGTACCGTTACAAAGTTAAAAATCTGATGGGAATACAAAACACCTTTTGGGCCATTCTTCGGGTTGAATGAGTAAAAGATAACATCTTGTACGAGACTACCTAATATATCATTATCTAACGAGTAATTTTATAATTTATTTTTTAACTGTTCTTTACTGATCGCTTTTAACAATGCCATATTTTTACAGTTGAATTTTGCAATACTTACAGTTTTCATATATTTGAATTTTAAACGTACGAGTCTTATGATTACGAAGAATGGCCAAAAAGTTCTAAACATGCAAATTGAGTAATGTTGCTGACAAAATAAGTTTATTTCATGTAGAAATCTCGATTCGCCAACTTTGTTGATTAGGTATTTTAATTATAGTAATAGGAAAATCTATCCATCAGTTCATTGACTTAGTATTAAGTATTGTATGTATATATTCTGTCATTTCTTTTCCATTAGCTTTATATCAACAAGGATGATAAGATCCATGACAAACTAAATACTGTATGAATTGATCTAAGTTTTAGTAAAAGAACATTAAAGGTTTTGTATATTATATAAACGTATGTCCGTTGTTTTTTTTCACCTTTGTGATTTGTGAATATTTTGGCTATATTTCTACATTTGGTAAGCGCACACTACACTATTTAGTTCCGAATAAAGAAAAATCATTGAATACCCTGTGATACAAATATAATGAACAATACATAACAGTAATACAAAACAAAAACCAGAATACGAAAATAACCCATTATAGCGCAAAAGGCCAGAACTCAGCTTAATGCAGTGTTCCCAGCACAAAGGCTCAGGACCACGGCGCTGATTTTCAGCATTAGCCGGTACGTAGTGAACTCCTGCGCAATAAGCTACGCAAATAACTTGACGTATTTTCATGTCCTGTACGTAAAATTCCTACTTTACACACACACTCACACTATGAATAGCTTGAATCAGAATTTAATAAAAGCAAGCAATGGATGTCGTAAGCAGGGGTGGTCCCAATATTGAACCCTGGGGTACACCAGAGGCAATATTTCGAAACTCAATTTGTGCAGTAGCCCCGTAGCTTTTCGGGTTATTATAGCTTCCATTAACTTGCTCACGAGTGATCTGTACGATTCAATCACTATTTTAGTGCAGGTGTCTTAGACAAACACGATAGAAATAAAACACAGAAGTAATATATTTTGTAAAATTTATTATTACTTAAACACCATGTGGACACTAATATAACGATATCACATCAATTATTATGGTAGGCAATTATTATTTCATTACAATAACATTTTCCTTGAATACAAATACAATAGTATTTTGACAGAATTTACTCACTAATTCACTTCCAATATTTCCTCTTGGAAAAATGGCCTTGTGCGCATTTGGAGACGAAATGTGACCACTAGGACGAATGAACCTTGATTTTCTTATTACACTGCAGATACGTGTGTGCTAGAAGCCACTCTATCGTGCCATAGCACTAACAAAACATTAGCATAATGTAATTGGTAATTAAATATGTTTATAATTGTCTAAAATAAAATAAATAGATTATTTAACAACACTGACTTGAATATTCGGTTGTTTGAGTATTTATTTTAATGAATTCGCTAGGGGACAGTTACGACATGATAATTATAAGAATATTGGTAGCAAAGTGGACCGTGGTTGGATTACAAAGAGCCGAAGGTCGAGTTCATTGACGTTCACATCATAGGTACTATTGGAGAGATCTGCCACTAGAAGTAGATATATCATATAGAAACGGATCCAAAGATGAAAATTAACTATGCGTGCTATTTATTATTTTGACACTTATGTTGATTTCTTCCGCTATTAAGCGTTATTTTATTCAGCTTTACAGTCGTTGCTAACCTTCACAAAAAGCTAGATAGTTACTACACCTCGTAAATGTCCCCTAGCGAAAAATTACAATACATTCATTATATTCTAATCTATTGAATATTATTATTGGATAATAGATAATATATATGTATAATATTAATAATAATACCTAGCACAATTCGCTATAACATTCATTATGATCTAAATTTCTTAACTGAAATAACGAAATACTTACTTTAAATAATAAATACAAGCCTATATAATACAAGGATAAACTGTGTGGAATTTTACGTGACCGTTCTAACGCTAGAATACTGAAAAGCTACTCAATTTTTAGTCGTAGTCGTCGTCTCTGTCATTGTATAATTATACAAAAAAATTTGTAGTGACTACTATATTGAGGCGCGGTTTAAAATTGAGTAGTCTCACAGTATTCGGGCGGTAGTATAGATAATAGATATTTAATACTTTTGTTTCATACCAACTGCTTAACGTATAAATGTACAACTGTTCAACGTCAACCTTAACTCGTTGAGTACCGTCATTACAGACACAATTAAAGAACTATAGGTTGCGGTCACCGGTGACGGCTCGGTGTTTGACAGTTTAATAAAAAATAGTTGCAAATAGATAATTGAAAAACATCATCAAATCAGTAAGAAGAATAGGCTGATCATGACATTAGCAATTAGCTGGCTTTATGTGCTAGCGGGAATATACCAACTTTAAAAAAAAACACAAAAAAAAATATTTTCCGTTATAGTCCGGTCAGGTAAGACATTTAAAGTCACAATAATCCTCAACCAGATGAAAATTTAAACAGAAGGTAAGGTTGCTCAAAGAACGCGGTTATTTAAAATTCACACTATATTTACAAAACATAACTTACAACAAAATCCTAAAGTAAAATAAAATTACTGTGATCTAATGTCGATTCTATAAAAAATATTAAATTCTGAACAACTTTACTTCATTCAAATAACTCTTATATACAAACAATATATGACAAAGGAATGGTACAAGGAAAATTAAAACTGATACTTTGTTGACAGCAACTTTACGTAGCTGCAATAAAAAGAAATCCACTCATAGGTACTTAATCGACCACAAAATTAAATGGATGTATTAAATAAATTCGTAACAATATTTTCATATGCCACGGGCGTTAAATCATTTGAATAGGTACTTATATCGCATACGTAAGCAAACTTGATGCTTGTGTGCGAGTTTGTTGTACGTTTAAAGTAATTGAAACGAGTACGTGCGCGTTCGACGCGTTCTGATTGGCCGGCTTCAAAGCGCTAACCAATCAGAGGCCTTAGTACAAGTTTGTCTTACGTTTAAAGTAACCGAAACGAGGCCTCGTTCGGCGCTCTAATTGGCCGGCCGGCCGGCGCCAAAGAACCAACCAATCAGAGCGCCGAACGCGTAATCGTTATGATTACTTTAAGCGTAAAACATACTCGTACTAAGGCCTCAGAGCGCCGAACGCGGTCTCGTATCGATTACTTTAACGTTAAAAAAGTCATAAAAGTACCTCCGTACCTTTTTAACGCAATATTTTCCAAATATCCGAGTCATATAAACAATCCCGTTCTATTTCCAAGAATATAAACACTTTTAGAAAAACAAATATTGCCATTCTAATACCTCATAAACATAAAATTGCAATAACCTTATTAAAAGATAATTTTTGGTATACGAATCGAGCCCTTCGGTAACAGGTGTGTACAGTTAAGGTATTCTGTAACTGTCAATTTGAACTTTCGAAGTGAGCTCGATCGCATTCTCGCCTGTCATTGGTTGAGATTATTCTTACAACTAATGACATGGCGGATCGAGTTCACTTCGATCCTTCAAATTTAAAGTGATAGTCTAGCAGGTATGGCAACGAATTAGTAACAGTAATTATAAAAAAAACTAAATAACCATAAATAATGTAAAATGTGTTTATAAAGGTAATTTTGTATTGTCTAAGAGTAATAACGCCATTGGAAAAACCAGTAATGATAGATGGTTGATTTGGTATCTTCAAAATTAATGAATCATCACGAATCGAAGATTTGGATTATTTATGAAATTTTCTTCTACTTCTAATACCTACTAGTAGTAGAAGATTCTAGAGTCTTCTTGGTAGTCAGTGAACCACAAAATACATTAATTATTATATCTCGATGAATAGTTTCATACTCTCAATAGATTTTCAAACGATAAAATATAAGAGTCTTTTTATCCATCATATACAAAACATTACCAACAAACTCATACTTTAAATACCATTAAATTAAAAAAAATCAAGCCCTCACATTACCATAGACGAAAAATAATACGAGATGACAACTAGGTATATAATATTAGAACACCACTATTGCACATCTATATTATTTTTATATTAACCATAATATCTACCAGAATCTCTACCAAGAGATTCTCAACGTAAAATTGATAAAAGAGCGTATTACGCAGGCACCAGCATAACAAGGTACCTTACTGTCAATTTCAATCAATAGATTAACGACTTTAACACAAAAATCTAAAGTTGAAATTGCAATAAAAAAATATCATGTCAGAGTACTTTAATTGGGCCTGTGCTATAGAAAAAAAACAATGTTTTCTTACGATAGAAATACACAAAAAGAGTTATATGTGATGCTACGGGATAATTTCATTGTAAATTAACTCTCGTTGGATCTATATTTAAGTACTACGAGGTCAATAAACCCTGTGACGTAGTATATGTTGCGGTTATTTCCTTTTCAAGAACCATCGAGTAATATGGCTTTGGTTTTACCCAGCAAGATATATTTTTTGCCGCTTTTTGTAATAAGTTTTCGTAGAAAATGATAGAAGTGCTCTTAGTGGATTTATATAAAAAACTGATATGAAGTAATAAATACAATTAAATAAATGTAATAATAATTATACAATTAACGAATGTGATGTGAACGCTTCGTTGGGATTGCAACTGTTCATAGTAAAACATATTACTAAAATTATTTAACTAATAAATAATCTTTTTCAAATATTATTGCACTAAAATTGATTGGTACATAATAATAAAATTGTTATCCTTTAACACATTTCTTATCATCGACGCAATGCGTATAATCGAGTGACGTAAAAACTAATTCGAATAATATAATCGAATGGATATTACCAAGATAGAGCAAAAATTAATAAATAATTTGATGAATATCATTGCAAAGCAGTTAAAAAGTACTATAAGTGTCCTGAGCATTGCTATCGATTAAAATCTTTTAATTCTTACAGCTACTCTCACTAGTAAAGTCCATAAAGTTACTTTTATGAATTAGGTACTACTATTATTAATATCTATCGGTATATATTCATTCATTTCTACTGAGCTCTACAAGAAAATGCTACGTTAAGGAAAAAACTTTCAAATATTCTGTTTAATTAATCATTTACTACTGTATCGATATTACTTTCGATTCGAAACAAATAGGACTGACTACAATACACCAATAAGGTAAATTGTCAAGCCCAAATAGTTGAAGGACAACCTCAAAGTTTAACAAAACAACGCCTATTACAATGGGCGTAAGGTTCAATTTTTATCCGAGAATTCGCTACTCCACTGCGGAAATGTTTTAAGGCTGTCGATCAAGTGTGTCGGCGTATCGTTTTTATTTTTACCGAAAATGCGGTAAGATGGATGCAAGTACTGTTGGCTCACCGATGTATCGAAGAAGTTCTTTGCTTCTTGTAGCTGTGGTCGCGTCGGTGGAGATTTGGTGAAATTTCCTGAAATATACCAATAGGAAAGAAATTAACATCAAGGTGGCTTAAATAGAATAGAAACAGAAGTTTAATAGTATCTAGTCATAGAAGAATTTTATTGCTACAACGACGATATAGGTATGTAGGTAGATTATGTTTTTATGAAAGTGGCTTTCCTGGAAAAGGGTAACCTATGAAGGTTGATCAAAGGTTACACTAACAAGACCTTTTATAGATCATCCATTAACTATATCTAAAAATAACTGTTTCCTAGACCAAGTCATCACGCGTAGTGCAACAGCTAGACCGATATCACGAAATATTTCATGGAGTCAGAAGAAGGATCTTATAAACGAAAATTTTGGGAAAATTTTCAGAAATATGTATTTATAACCTTACCTATAAAAGCTAAAAGCAGTCCAGTAGGCACCGTGGTCTTCGTAGCCTGAGGAATACACTTGAGCCAGCCGAGAGCCTCATATGTTTGTCCATTGGAGGATATCAAAAAATTATATGGTAGCGTGGCGTTCACTGACGTAACATTGGCCTGAAACAAGAAGAAAAATCGTAAGTAACATGGTATATCAAACAACAATTTGTGGATCACACAGAGTTCTCCGTGCGGGAATTGAACCAGCTACACGCTGTAGATAGAGTAGAGATATGTGGAGATCAATTAGGGAGACTAGATTTCGGGGATGCGTCTTCTACTCGCCTTTTAGTAGCTTATTTTTAAGTTATTAAATACCTACACGAGTAGAAAAACAAGGATTGTAATTATAGTTAAGGAGTTGTATATTACAAATAATAATCTTAAAAGTAATAAAATGTCGTTTATAGGTTTTTGAAGGTGAATTGCAGCTCCTACACGCAATTCTTAACATTTTTATGATACGCCCAATATAATTAAAATATATACCTAGGTTTTTTATTACTCATTCAGTGCTATTGTATTTATGAGTAAATTAATTATCTTCATATTATCTATACCTATGCTGCGATGGATTTATCCGATCGTGTTAATAAGGTAGTTATTGTGAATGTGACCTTTAGGTACTCCGAATGCATATACTTAAGTGTATATTTAGGTACGCAAAGGCCTTGTGAGTAAACATTGAGTAGAAACGTGGTATTTCCGTGGTTGCTTTGTAGAAAGATGTAATTATGGAGACGATGTATGGAACTAATTGGAAGAATACTGATGACCAGATGAATAAACGTGATGAAGCCAAATTATTATTTATGTATCATCATGTGTATCCTGTATCCATCGTACAGTTACGCATAGCTAGTAAAAAACTGATCGTTGAATGTACAGAAAGATCATACAAAGGAAACCATACAAAACTGGTTTTGTATATATTAATGTTGTATGTGAACTGTGACTGAAGAATTTATTTGTTTGTTTGAGCGTGTTAATCTAAGAAACTACTGGTCTGATTTGAAAATTTCTTTTTGTGCTTGATAAGCCATTTATTGAGGAGAGCTAGGCTATAAGACATCACGATACTATCAATAGAAACCACGCAGAAGTAGCTAGTAACAGATAAAGCTGAAGACTTTGTTAGTGTTCTTTGATCTCCGAAATGGCTAGCTCGGACAGAACGAACTCTTACTATAACACATCAAGCTGAGATCAATAGGAATCGAGCAGCAATGGGTGAAAGCGCGGAAGTAGCTATTCTAGTCTAGTATAGTACAGTAACACAAAGGGCCATTTTGAGACACAAAGGTGTCTGATGTCATACCTATACCTAGTCAGCCATTTACTTCTTATATTTTGTGGCAGAGTAATCATTACCTTTGCCCCGTGACACACGTACCTTTAATCAACTCAATACCCTTTGTGTACCTAAGTGCTAGTCCTCTGATAGTGTCTTGCATGAGTAGATATTAGTTTAAATGGAATTGTTTAATATTTGAATATTCAAATGCGTACAACTCTGACGTTAATGTTCAATTTGGCCCTAAGCCTTTCTCTCCAATGAATTCCAGATAGGCCGGTGGAATACGACTAGCGGGTTATTCTGACGTCCAAGTCAGGATGGTCCCGAGTGTACGGCGCGTCGCAGTCCGCGCGCGCCTCAAAGAGCCATCAGACCACCACAGATGGGGCCCAACAGGGCCGATGCCGATTCGGAGTCGCGGAGAACCTAACGGGTTACCGGGGCTCTGGCTCGACGTGCATGAGAAGGACCGGGGTGGTTTTTAGTCAGTAAGAGACTGACACTCCCTCCCGCTTCACCCAGGCGGGAGCAAGCATTCGATGATTTTCCCCCCCTTTAAAAAAAGTCTATTTCGGCGAGGATCGGTAAGAATAACAGAAACTTTTCTGTACACAATTACACTAAAAAAACAGAATATGTGGCAGAGATCAGTTTTGCGTCAAAAGTTCATTTTACTGATTATCGCAGTTATCGCATGACGCAGAACAAGCAAGAAACTCCATGACAACTATTTAAAAGTGTTACAACATTATTAAATACTAAACACGCTACTTAACTACGAAACATAACGTCGAAAAATGCTTCTCAAAGTCAGTAGCGAACTAGCAATAAGCATAGCTGACCATGAACAACAAAGATTAAATTTGTAATACCAATTAGCACAAATTAGTCGATTCGAAACAGTAATTTTCACATAAAATCGAGTTATTACCAATTTCGAAAGCTTCTTTTATGATTTATTTTATTTTATTACAAGCTTTTATTTATAAATATTGCATCGCTTGTTGGCAATAACAATGTCGTTTATTTAATAACGCTGCGGTCGATAAGAGTGCAAACTGTTATACTGGGACATTGACATTAAACTAATAATAATTTATTGAACTTATTTTTATTTTGCCAGTGTCTGCATGAAAATATAATTTGTATTGGTCTGAAGAGCCATTTGCATGGTGGCCTCACTCAAAAAGCTATAAAATGCTTAATGTAATAAATGGATACTTTCACACAAAATTTACTGGTATCATGATATATTATAACACAAAAAAAGGACTTTTCTTTGTATCGAAATCGAATTCATTATTATTCAAAATCAATTGATAAATATCGACTCGATCTACTCGTACGAACTGGAATTAGAGTAGATATAGATATTCCACTCTGATGAAGTTCGAGCTCAAATGATAGTGCATTTAGGTACCTACGTATCGATCGGTAGGTAGGTACTACCTTTAATATCAGTAACAAAACTAACATCAATATGGCATGTCCATGATGTCCGTCCTATGATAAAACTACAGTAATTGGTCTGTACGTAGGTATGTACAATGTTCATACCTATTGGTACTACCTACCTACCCACCACATAAATAAATTGTGACATCGATATTGTCGTTTACCAAAACTGTTATTGGAGTTTTTAGGTTTTCTAAACATAGCTTTGTGTATTGACACAAGACCTAATTGTGTTATAGATTGAGTAATCCATGTTATTCTTCCATAATATAGTCTTCGCGACAAACCATTGTCACAAAATTCACGAAAAAACATTCCAACGGATTCAAAACCAAACCACTTTATCTTTCAATGATAGATAACTAAGCAATTTATTATAATTAGGCAGCTACATGACGAAAATAAAATTGAATGAACGTGATTGGCTAGAAAATGTTATTCCCCGAAGGATCATACGTACTTCCGCCCACTTTCAGACTGAAATCTAATTAGTCGCACATTCCCATGGCAACAGAGGATGAGATTATTGGTAATGAGGTATACAATTTGTACTTCGTATATCGGATAATAATAGAAAACAAAAATTATAGGTAGGTAGACTATATCCGATCCGATCCGATACATAAGACGATATTGGGAGCTTTTTCTATCATAAAATCGTGTGACATCGATGTCCAAATGGTCGTATTTGCAAATATCATTTATCTATACAAATAAAAATAAAGTTAAGGTTTTCATTTAAAAAAATGCAACGTGATGTGTGCACTTACGAAGATGCGGACAGCAGTTTTCAATATTTTTAGCATAAAATAAATAATTGATTTGCTATAATATATTTCCATGGAATAGGGGCACTAGAGGATTTATATTAACGTACAATATTCCGGGCAAATCTTAATACCTAATTTAAACCGAATCGTAAATATAGTAAAATCGGGCACGAATCACACCAAATCTAGATCGCGGTGTAATACAATCGCATACGCTACCTTCTATCTTTGGACACAAGATCCTTTTGTTAAACAACTCCGCGTTATATTTTGTTGGCATTGTATACTAACTATACCTCTACTATCTTCTTAGCTATGTTTCGAGCACAATATTTAAGTACACGGCCGTCAAGATAAGCGATTACAAATAATAATAGAAGGCAAGATTTGTCTATCAATGTCACTCTCATTTAGAAGTACATAGTTGCCATATAGTTCGTATATAGCCCTCGTATTTTTTTTAAGGGGGAAAATCATCGAATGACTGCTCCCGCCTGGGTGAGGCGGGAGGGAGCGTCTCTCTTACTGACTCTTACTGACTAAAAACCACCCCGTTCCTTCTCCTGCACGTCGAGCCGGAGCCCTGCGCGACTCTGAATTGGCATCGGCCCTATTTGGGCCCCATCTGTGGTGGTCTGATGGGTCTTTGAGGCGCGCGGAACGCGCCGTACCCTCGGGTCTGTATCTGGTCGGACGGGGAGCCACTCATGCTCGCCGTCCGCAGGCCCGCGCAGATATCTCTCGTATAGGGTCTCTTAGGATAGGATTTTTTTAAGGGGGGAAAATCATCGAATTACTACTCAAGGGAGGGAGTGTCAGACTCTTACTGACTAAAAACCACCCCGTTACTTCTTCTGCACTTCGAGCCGAAGCCCCGGTAACCCGTTAGGTTCTACATAATCCATCCTAGATTAGATTTTGACAACGACTTGGGTCTCTGAAAACATCCTTTTAACAGTAAGTACTTAAGTAGAGAGCCTGTGGCGCAACACTCTCATTTCGTACCAAAGGGAAAAACCTAGTGTGACGCATGGAGTTACTTACAAGTGTTTTCAAACTAAGTACGCTTAGCAAAAAAATAATTTGTTCCAGCATGATATATCTCCGATTTGTCTTACCAACACATGTGCAATTCATTGTTACGTACAGTGGTAACGACTTCCTATAGTTAAGGGGAATTTCATACATAAAAAATAATGCCCAATTCCTACGATACAGGGTTTTCTACTTGACTCGAGTATCGAACCCAGGACAAAGCTATCAATAGTCGCAAGCCAAGCCACAATTAAACCAATGACGTAAATACAAAGTATACAAAATTAATATTTTAAAAGCAAGATAATTAAACACGGGTAGCAATAAATAAGTATTCAAAGTTAATCCATGTACACAACAAATGAATGTACATGTGACATGACCCAGTTCTACCCTACTGTTAGAATCATACCTTAATAACAGTATAACGACTATGTAGAATTATAGATGATATTGGATACAAATTACTCAGCTGAATTATTACCTGCATTTCCAATAGTAGTTTCGTACATGACTCCGTACTGTTGCATCGTTCCGTTCCTGTTTGAACGACAGTGACTGCTCTGAGTCTATATGGGAATGATCTCAATGCACTCTGGTCTCCATCGCTAGTGTCCCATTGTGATCTGCTCACCAACTGCAACGGTCTTTCTATCGGTGGTAAAATATTTTCTGGAAAGGAGGTATGTTTTATTATATACAGTTATAGTTACATGTGGAAACCGCAAAAACTATGAGGAAACACTGTCTGTGGCAAAGACCAAATAATTACAGTAAATTTTGCACTACCAGTTAAGTTTAACGATAACTACGATTTACTCGTGCTCGTTTGATAAACATGAATTTAATATAAGCCTATTTTAACCAATAAATTAGAGAGCATGACCTTGTCACACTATATACTACAAGTATCACTGTGTATTCAAGTATACTAGGATGACTGTGTTATATTGCATTATTACTATTTTATAATACAACACACAGTTATACTACGATCAATGTCAAATAAAAAGTTATCACAAAACATTTACCAGATTCATTCTGTAAAATGAGGAGATATATTCCAATTATGACACCGCCAATGAGTATCACTAGGAGCAAGCTGACAATAACAGTTGTCACTGGATTACGTTCTGACCCAGTGTGCGGGAACCGATGAAGCAGCGGAGTATTTTCTTCTGATGTTACCGGAGTAGGAGTTTCTTCCTCCATGTGATTGGTATTGTGCCGAGTCTCATGGTCTGTGAAACACTTGTCCAGATGAGTTAACTCTTCACAATTTATATTTTTTAAATCCATAACACACATCTAAATGAGACTTGGTTTACTAAAGCACTAACCGCTTTGGTTGACTAAAGTATTAACTGATAAGTAAAAATTCCCATTGTTCATACTATCAACACAAACAGACAGGATATGTATGTTAAATAACAGAGATAAACAAAAATCAATTACAGTTTAAACTTCGTAGTGGTATTTCCATCATGAAATAATTTCCTATATTATTTATTTAACAGTACCAAAGCACAATTTTCACACAGCCATTGTAATAGATTCTATCTATCACTACTAGTCTGCCCAGTTAGAAATATTAATGAAATGAATATGCCTCAGGTTGTTACTTGTATCTACATGTGGTCCATACTCTTGATATCATATCACATCACTAATATCATATTACCGTGCGATAAAATGAGTTGTTATCTACCTACGTGCTCGCAGATTACATCAAAAACATAAGTGACTCGTCAGAATTTGTTTAGTTTGTTCAGATTCAAAATACAACCCAAATTCAATAAAATCCCATAAGATTAAGTGTACTATACCTCTATACATTTTATGACATTCACAATGAATCAGATATTTTTTCATTCATTTTAGAACAATGATCACAAAGAACTATATGGCTCTAGCAAATATTGAACTTACCAACAGAATATAAAGGCTGCATCTTTACAATTAATATCACGTAACATTAACCAATTTACTAATAGATTTCTGACTAGGACATGTCCAACAGCGCCAAATATCGACCCATAATGAGTAATTTAAGGAAGGACGAGGAACGGAGGAAAATAATGATATTGTTATGTTCAGGAAAACAAATCGCTGACTTCAGTTTTAGCTGTCAATCTGTCAAACAACGAAATAATACGTCAAAGGGTGATTAATTTGATCGTACTAATCGACATGCGTAATAATCGTGTGAAGATATTTATGAAAATCACATAACAAATTCGGTTGTTACAAGTTTAGTTTATGTATTTTAAAATGTATATAATATTAAAGCAATCACTGAAATTAAACTTTATGCTTAGCTACATAAAGATTTCTGTATATGGCTCGACTAAATACTAATGCATTTAGCAACATAAAATCTTAACTCATAATTATTAATAGTACAAAACAGAACTAAATTGAGACACAAAACAAGAAAAAGATGGGCGCTGCGCAATGACCAAATCTGGAATTTTTATAAAAGTAATTCAAAGGCCGATATCTTAAGAACGGTTAAATTTGGGATATGAGGTTTCTTAGTCAGATCGGTCAGGAATAATGCATACTACCACCTCTTAAAGGATTTAGGTCGACTTAACCTGTAACCCTGTTTAAAACAATGTACTAGAGAAAATAAAATTTGACTTTTGCTAAAGTTATTGTTTAATATTTTGATAATATAGGAAAAATATTTTGGTCGTATGATGTGTGGGTAAACTAAAGCCAGTTTAGTCGACTTTACTCAACAGTGACTTTTGACGTTTGAGGTTGTCAATATTTTATTTATTATCTGTTGAACAAAGTACGACGATTACGGTGATCGAGTGACTACTCTGACTTCGTTTCCTTTTATTGATTTTGATAGACCTGAAAATAAAACTATTGCATTCTTGACTTTGTATTTATAAATTAAACTCTTGCAACTACTTGTTGAAGAAAGTGTTCTCAAGAGTAGGAAGAAGAGTTGAAATAAAGAACGACTTGTTACCCTGACCCTCTGTCAAGTTGAGAGATTCGCGAATTTCGTCGAACGCTCTTCTATATTATTGCGTTTGTTCTCAATACCTAGTATAAATACATTTCAGTCTAGTACTGATTATGACGATCGATTTCAGTGTTCTTCACGTAAACCTAGTTGAAGAACATATCATTTAGCACCTATCTCCGTAGGACGATAACAAGAAATCGTCGGCTTTTTGTGGTTGAATGTAGCCATTAAAGTCGTACTCTTGAAATAACAAAAAGTTCAGTGCAGTTTTTCGTGAAGTTATCTATAATTAGCATACAATTTGTTAAGGTAAGTGTTGAGTAGTATACTAGAAACATTCCTTAGCATTAAACCATTTAAATTAAGATGTTTTTAAGTTATTATTTGTCGTTTTGCGAAGTACAGTACGTCTATGCTGCATTTAGTAGATTATAATTGTGTTCATATACCTTCATAGTTATATGACTCAACTGTATCTCACTTGTGAACCTATATTACCATTCAACTTGCATCTCTATTTATGTTTCAAAAATTACATATTCTTCTGTGACTCTATTTGTATTCGAATTTAGAAATCATTTGTAGCAACAAAAGCAAATAAAGCACATTCTTTTGAATGGATTGTAGGTAGATACTATATCTATCTACTATATCAATATAAAATTATCACCAGCAAAGTCATTCACATCAATCTGTAATCTAATTAGATACTCGAATAACTGTCCTTAATATTAATTACAGTTCTTGTTGTACATGTAAAAAAGTGCAACAACAAGAAGATTAAATTACTCTGCAGATGTATTGTTATGGACATTCCTTCACTGTTTATGTATGAAAAACATATTTTATCTCAATACCTTTTTATCTCTCATGCATATCTTGTAATCTGCATAACTATTGTGATTGTGTGTCACATTCAATTATTATTACTTTTTACCATTCTGGAATTTGCAAGGACTAGATAATTGCTTTTAGATAAACAAGTAATATATAAAAAATATTTTTTGTGTTAAACAGTTTTCCCAACCAATTAACTTGTTGAGTACCGTCATTACCGTCATCACCGGTGACCGCTTGGGGTTTGACAGTTTAAGTCATTTCATTCGATTTTCATAATGCAGGTACTTGTGGAAAAATTTAATTATAATATTGTAGGGTCATCAAGATTAAGGAGCAAATATCAGATTTATGTGGCATCGGATAAGGTGTAATGGTGTAAAATTGCTTACTAGACCTAAACAAGCAAACAAACAAACGGGACAAGCTAAAAAAAACTGTTTAAGAATCTTGGAGTGTGCACACAGAAGTAGTGTCTCTTGTCATATTTTTACCTGATAGAAGGGTATGGTTTTTTCTAATTTTATTTGGTGGAGGAATCTAAATATTTATAATTCGGTGTTGTCTTTTTCTTGAAGTGTTTAAAAATTAAATTTATAAGTTATTTAGACTATTACGCCAGTATAGGTTCACCAACAAATAATTAAAGGGATAACCAAATGCTATTTTAGCTTGAGCTCAGGTATAAGCAAAGCGTGGTGTACAAGTAGTGTGACTAGTTCATGAATATGTGCACAATAGGTTAGGTATGACATGCACAAGTTTTGACCTGATGTTTATCTTTGAGATTATCGAAATAGGTATATATTTATTGTATGTTGCGCATTGCATTTTTACTTCCATTTTGGGTAGCCACTTGCAAACGTCTGCTAATAGATATTGCTTAGCAATTTTTATTTTTTAAATGTGTTGCTCTTAAGCTTAATCTGCGAATTTGTGATCATTATTTTTCTTTTTATTTGTCTGTATTTTTATAACCCTTGTTTGTTATTCTGTTGCTAACTTGAACTGTAATTAAAAACAACGACATTGTCCTATTTTAACTTGCTGACTTTAATCAATACTGCTCCAATAAGCTCCTTGTTAACACAAAATAATACTAGAACATCGGCAACAGTATTGATTTTTTAAATATTTAATGCATTGTAAGTGACACACTTTCACCTAGCTGGTGCTAATGCTATTTTAATATTCTGTGGTAGTGTAAGTAAACATTGCAAATGAAAGGGTATAAATGAAATGTGTAATGATTTACACACATTTGATTTGAGTTATGAATTTTCTCATCCTTGTTTCCTTTATTCTATTAAAGTGTTCATTTTATTGTATGTCTTTCCAGGGTCGTAGAAACAATCAATGATACGAGAATTTTACGATAGTTCGGATGAAGATGACATGGATAAACAGTATCAGATAGATCAGGAATGCTTGGTGACTCGGCCGGACTGCGACATGCATAACCGGTGCTGTGGTGGTAAAGCGTGGTGCATCAGGGTAAGCATCATCACACTATAATATTATAAATGTCATAGTTTCTTTCTTTAAATGTTTGTCCATCAATCACTTGAAACTACTGAATGGATTTTGATGTAATTGGTATAGAGGCAGGCTATGGGCTGACTTAGGTGATAGGGTTTTTTATCCCGATTAAATGCTCCCATGGAATAAAACAGAAATCATATTCAATGTGGAAGAAGTCGCGGGCAACAGCCAGTTTATAATAATAATAAAAAAAACTACCCTAGTTTTCAAAACTAGGGTATTGTAAGTCAAAATGCTTACGATTTTTAAATATTGATGTTATTGTTACAGGACATTTGTGGTATAATTTGTGCAGTTTTAACATGGCTCTTGATACTGTATGCGGAATTCGTAGTGATGATGGTGATGCTTCTGCCAGGCCTTTCCACATACCCAGTGTATAGTTACATTAACATATTCATATTCCAAAGCCTGGCATTCCTGGCGTTCGCTTCTCATCTCAGGACTATGTTTACCGATCCCGTAAGTAGTGGATTTCATTATAATTCATAAAGCCTTGGCTTTGCCTAGTTATTAATAATAACTTATTATCTACAAACTATCCTAAGGAAATCAGTCACATTCTTTATTAGAAACTGTTCTAACAATATTATGGTAGTGTGCTACAAAACACATGTTAAAGCGTAACAAATTGTGTTTTAGTTAAAGGCATTTCAATGACTATTCAAGCTGTACATTAAATATAATATTATGTTCTTTGTAGGGTGCCGTTCCTAAAGGCAATGCGACAAAGGAAATGATAAAGCAGATGAGTTTTCGAGAAGGTCAGGTGATATTCAAGTGCACCAAGTGCTGCAGTATTAAGCCAGAACGAGCACATCACTGCTCTGTCTGCCAGCGATGCATTAGAAAGATGGACCACCACTGCCCTTGGGTTAACAACTGTGTCGGGGAGAATAATCAAAAATATTTCGTATTATTCACCGTAAGTGTTGTCAGTTATTAAATATATTTTATTACTCTCCTCATATGGTGTAAAGGACCGTTACCCGCAGCTCTATAACTGACTGCCAGCACGTGCTTCGCGTGCTCTAAGCTATTACGATCTATGTTCGTCAAATGAAGCCATTATTTAAAGCACTTGAATTAAAAAATTCAGTTGGCTTATAGCATTTTATTTTTGTTGAAACTATATTACCACCACACATGCTGTGAACAAAAGTACATGAGAACTACGTCTTTTCTCTACGTACGTTCGCAATAAATTATTTTTGCTTATCAATCTGAGTTTGCTTAACTTTGAGAGATATACCTATTTTTGCTATTCTTGATAAAGTTTTTTATGTGTCTGATTGTTAATGTGTTTTCAATAGTTTTACATTGCGGCGATATCGATCCACGCGGTGGGTCTCGCTGTGTACCAGTTCGTGACGTGCATCCGACATGAGTGGCGAGACTGCAGTGCCTACTCGCCGCCCGCCACCGTCGTATTACTGCTGTTCCTGATCGCGGAAGCATTACTATTCGCAATTTTCACCGCCGTTATGCTAGGCACTCAGTTACATGCCATATGGAACGATGAGACTGTAAGTCTTCATTAATAAAATCGATATCGATTGCTTCTTTCTACGTAACTCAGCCGAGTCCTATGTATTCATTGCATAACTGCATTTATTATTGACAGTCTATTTACCGTGCAGTATGAAAGTGTACAGCGATACTTTATGTGTTTGCAGGGCATAGAGCAGTTGAAAAAGGAACAAGCTCGATGGGTTCGCAAGTCTCGATGGAAGAGTATTCAGTCGGTATTCGGCAGGTTCTCCATCCTTTGGTTCTCACCATTCACTCAGCCTTCACCCAAGACGAAATTGGAAAGCTATCTGTATAGTGTTTAGTGTTTGTATTCCATAGACACGGATGAGGAAGATATTGAGGATACATTAGAACATTTGAGACATCTGAAAGCGTTTTAACATTAAACATTGGTCTTACATAACAGGTACTATAGTTATACCTAGTGACCTAACAAAGCTTGAGCTACTTGTAGTGTATTGAAACTAATTCAGAAAAGGTCAAATGCCATCATAACGGAATGTGAGATATTTCCATATTTAATTCTCTGTATAAAAAATCGCGAACTATATTGCTTTTAGCAATGTCTGATGATTAGTTCTTGAACTTTTCTGACTTTAGATCAATTTCCTTAATGTTCTTCTCGTATTTTCCTCAGCCGTGTCGTTTGTGGTATAGTATTATCACCACATCCACATATACAAACATAGTAGTGTAACATACATCCACAAATTCATATTCACATCTCAATGTATTATTATTTGTAATCATTATAGCTACTTATCTTCAAAAGCAATTGAAATTGACGAAATCCAGCAGTCAAATGTTGGTCTTTGAATGCACCATATAATCTTGCCTTTGAGGCCAACATCACAATATTCTTATTGATATAATTTAGTCACTCTCGTCTCACTATGATTGACTATGACTGACAACGGAATTTGTAGAGTATAGATAGTTAGGAAACCAAACGTCTGCATTTACTAATACTTATTTAATTGTTACAAATATTTATCACAAATGATTAATGATATATAAATTATTCTGGTATAGGTAAGGTTACGAATAAATAGTAACTGAAACATTTACAGATTTATACAGATTCGAAATGAAAGCATGTAGGCGTGTCGTAAGCTACGCACACAAATCCCGTGTGGTCTCGTACGGAGTCACATAATAGTAATATTAATATTAGGCCTCGATGTTGTACTAAATTTTTTAATAAATAATATTATTATTTATCAAGATCATCGTAGATCTCTTTAATATAATAATGGTATTAAGTTCTTGTGCTATGATAAAAGTTCAAATCACAAATTATATATTATTATAGATAAGTTAGCAAATATCTATCTATGCAATAAAATTAATGCTTTATCTTTCGTAAAGTATTGCTTTTTGAATGTATCTTGTAACAAAGTTACTATACGTGTTAGGTATAGTGTAGGACCAATGACATGATAGATCTCTCCTATGCTCATCATTGATGAGTGTATCTATGACCTTGGTTTTGCCTGAAATCAGATATTTGCCTTGACTACAGAATAACACGATATTCTGTTGAGAAGTGCGTGCAGACTGGTCGTTGTTAATTCCATAAAGGTTTAAAATGAAACTTTTGTTGTTGCGTAATCATGATTATTATTAATTTTAAATTGAATTGATTGTGATTGTATTTATTTCGTTGTAATTATTGCTTTCTTTATGTTGTTATTTACATGTGAAGTTTATTTCTTAAGTATAGGTCGACTAATGGCCGCGGGAACAAACAACTCGATAGTTATACATATTTTAGTTGGTGGTTTAATGGCGGAGTAATATGAACGGTAGGTTGCAACGCTGTTGTGATATATTAAGTGTAATCTAATTAACGTCTTTAAGTGAAAATATAATTTTGCTTCAGTTTGAGCAATAGTGGATTTGTATTATCAGTCAGTGATAGACTTAACTTGTTATAACTATTGATAGGTCAGTTTTGGTGTATAAATTATTTACACAAACGCTTATCTTTTTGATGCGTTTGTTGTTTTTTTTTGTATTATTTTGATTCGTATGTAGTTTAATTAAGTTCGGCTGAACAGAGCATTGAAAGCGAGATGGGAGCGAAGATATCCTGAGGTTTTATTATATGTAGTGCATATTTATCATTCTTCCTCATAAATCATCCTGCAGTCAGTGTAAGAATATTATTTACAAAGTAGTGTTTCAATGCCAAGGTATTGAGGCACCATACTTTATACCTAGTAAGTGTCGCAACTTTGTTGGTCTCCTCATTAAATTGATATTTTCATTCATATGTCACGTTCCATATTTATTCCATGTTAGTTACACCTTACATACAGTTTATTAGCGACTGTATATTTAATCTTTCGGGTGATAGGTAAATATGCACTATTTGTGTAGGACGAAGGGATTATCTAATCTATTGCTTGCTCCCGAGGCGCTTGCTCGCGTGTGTGACCGCCTTACGTTGCAGTAAAGCAGATATTTTAGCAATAGCAATACATACACAGACCATGAGTAGTTACTAGTTATGCTTCTAACGACTGCATAATAATTAGATGTAAGCGTATATCGGTGATTCTATTAAGAACCGTTAACTTTGCAATAATTAAGTGCTGTTTACACGTATTATTTGTTATTATGTGTTAGCTAAGACCTTCGTTTTTGGGAAACAAATCTTTGATGGCTTTAATGTTTTAAGTGTCAAGCTTAGAGCCGACATAAGTTTAAAAAATATTTGTAATTTCGCGGCAAACTTAGTTTGGTGTTACTGTGGTGATTATGTCATCCTTATTAGCTGTGTCCACATCGGTCGAGCTTGTGGAGCGACCTTGTGAGTCAACTCTATTTATTTAGACGTGTCACAGTTCTACTCAGACGCATATTTGTGCTCTGATGGACTTACATATTAGGTTGTAATTGCTTGCAACTTTGTTTGCAAGTATCAAGTACCTAAAGTAGCCACAACTTCCTCTAATTAAATGAGCCCGAGCGCTGTGTTCACTATATACATTTGTAGCCTCTTGACAGTTTTAGATACTATCAATACTAGTATCTCTATCCTGCAATCTCTTCCTAGGTTACTATCATCTTAGGAAGTTCGGACTCCTTATAAGTAACACCAAATCTCTAAATTAAAATTAATAAAATATCTAAAAGCAAAAAATGAAATTCAGAATACGCCAACCGGAGCCGTACAAATCCACGATATTACAAACATATCATATCAGAATATTTGTTGCATAACGCGAATATTTTGTGATACTTTCTGTTATATACTTAGTCGTTTTGAAGCAATATTGACGTCTATATGTAGTTTGCTAGTAGGTGATAGTATAAAGGTTAGTAACTATGCTCACTCCGGATGGCTTACGTGAATTGGTATTGTGCTTAGCTTCATTATCGGCTTATTATATATTGCGGAATTTGTAGAAATTCTGGACTATATTTTTAGAAGACAATGAGCGGACACAACACTATATTGAGCCTTAGAACGCGAAAGGAAATGTACCTCAATAATATACTAAATACTATTTCCATATATTGAATATAAGCAGGCTATCACCATCATTCTGTCACTATATAGTGAGCGTAGAATATATTCATGTATACATATTTATTGTGATGAAGGTATATGTCACTTAATCAGTCATATTTACTATTTTTGCGGGTTTGTTACTATTACTTACAATTGTACTTCTTAATTAAGCTTTCTATTTCGTCGTTGCGTAACGTTTAAGACCTATGTTACGTTATCTACATAACTTATCATAATTATTGGAAAATATTTTAGCTATGTAAGTTTAAATCTATATATTTGATGGAAATAAATAATATAATTAAATCTTATAAGTAATGCAGTTTGTAGCAATAATCCGATATATTATTTTGGATATTTTAACAATGTTTTTGTATTAGGTACTATATACACATGTACTATAATCGTCATTCTTAGTCATATGTGACCTGTAACAAATAATGCGCTGCCGATACAAAGCGTACGCTGTGCGCTTGTAAGTGATGAAACATTAGTGATTAAAGGTAATGAAATGTTAAGTCTCGACTCACGTTCTCAGGATAGAAAATATTCTGCACTGAAAATTGTGTCTTATTTCCTAAATGATAGAGTAACACCAAGTTGTAGTTCGTTGTAGATTTTTTCGTTAAAGAGCTAGAATAGTATATACCTATGTAATAATGTTTATGGGAAGTTTCAGTGGGAATCTGGTTTGCTTAGTGAACCGCATGCCAAAGTAAGGTTGATATATTTAAGTTATAACGTGGCTTCGTTAGTGGCTTTATTATACATATCTTTGTATTTGTCCAATAGGGATGATTTAATGGTTAAACATTAATAATTTTGACTTGTAATTATCATGTAGTTTCTGTGAAATTATTTGTCTATATAAAATGTAATCGATAGTAGAATCTTTTGTAATAATCTTGTGACTACAATCAGCTTGCTAGAAGCTAGTTATACTATATTTGACTTCAATGTTTATAAGTACATTCTGATGTGATAATTTGCCCCCGTTTTGTTCTGGACGAGAGCAAAGTGGATTATATTAGCAAAATGCATATTTTGTGCGTTCAATTTTGAAAGCCACTTTCGTAGCTAGTTCATAGGCTTCTGGTAATTGAATTGAAATACGGTTCGTGTAATAAGGCATTGGTGTTAATTTCAGTGATATTCTTTACGGAAGTAGTTAAAAGACAGGACCAGGCAAGCTTTATAAAAACCTTTTGTTCAGTCACACTCTGGAATCGATTTTGACTATAGAATAATATATGAAATTAATTCATTGTGAAAAACACTTCAGTTAAGTATATCAAGTAATAGTCTATTTAAGATAAACCTGTACTTGATACTGTAACGTTTAAAAATATTACCAGGCGCATCCAACATGTGGCTGGTCTGAGTAAATTGGTAAATATTAAATATGACAATATATTCACTGAGAAATTACGTTCAGGCCATTATCCAGACGACCAGGTACCGATATTTAATTAGCCTAGTTGTAGTCGTAACTATTTTCATATTAATGTTCACGATTTTATCTAATTATTTATGTCTTACTGAACAAATAGTTTAGCTTATTAGATTATAATATCAGTTTTACTTGAAGCGGGCTTGAAATAACTTTGAGTGGAACATTTTAAACCCCAGTTTCATATTTTTTGTAATGTTTCAAGATCGGTTTCGTGTACTCTAAATACTTAATTCTTTGTGATGTTTTAATAACACTAATACTTAAAGTTCGGCTGCGATTTCTCTATGATTAAGTGTAATAGAAAGTCAGAATATCATTCATGATATTACGATGTTTTAAGTATAATTATATTGCTATAGTCATTTGTCGCGAATATTGCAATATATTATAATATGTAACAGAATACAAAATCAACACTGTGCCTCTTTGATTAGCTGACTCTAAGAAAGAACAGATGAAAGTAGATGTACATTATTTTTATAGTATAGTACTCCGTAGGTCACTAGTAATCAATCTCATGTACACTTCATGTACTCACAATCATAGCATTATCTTCTAATACATCATAATCAAACGTTGTGGAGGCTCTTGCACCATACATACAAACAATGATATTTAAACTAGATATAAGGACTTGCGTTGTATGGTTATTTCATATAACTTTAGTTATTGTATTTACTCAAACTGAGTTCACACCCGTCGACCATTTGTCCAGTATTAATATTGTTTATAACTAGTAAACATAGGCAATAGTAAGCACAGTGCAAGGAGGCCTAAATATTTATTTATGACTTGATGCTTTCTATCATTAAGCTATTACTACACTAAGCATGAAATACATGATATATTTTTTCGATCGTATTAATTATATTTACGTAGAAATGGGTAGGATACATTTCTCTTTGTATATACATGTGAGGATTTATGTTGATCAGTGCTTGAGACTGCTTCTATGAATTTCTACTGTAATTACAGTCTAATAGAACCTATTCGAAACATAAGGCAGCTGCCTCAACAGTACCTTCTGATGTTCACGTCTAAATTATTAAAATATAACGTAGTAATAGATTTCAATGGTGTCTACGTTGCAAGTCGACTCTACGCTACTTTTTCAAACTAATATACCCAAGCAACGTTCTTTTCAAATGCCCCAAGTTCCAATGATTTTGCAGCCACGTTCTGTTTATAAATACTTTGTATAAAATATTTCAAACAATATTTTTATTGTGCTTATAATCAATGTACTATAATGTAATCGACATTGTAATCTTCTACATACAATTAAAATTATGTAGGTACCTATTTTTGGAGCGCTAAATATAATTGTCTATAACGACTAGGTATGTAAGCAAATCACTTAAATCTCCCTTAGTAAGTTGTAGACTGTAGACATATTAATCTTATCATGATATACGTTTTTAATTTTTTTTAAAGTGTTTTTTATCAAGGTCTCCTTGACATTAAAATCAAAATATTTTTATAAGTTACGCAACGTAATGCGACATAACTGAGTGTGCAAAATCTAAGAGTAACTGCTGAATCTCACTGTAGACTAAACATCTTATACATTTAATCGTTGCATTCGGGTCAACGTTTTAAACACGCATAATGAAATATGTAGAGTAGAATCGACTATGTATTACCTGAAGTAATAATTGTCACTGCCCCTAGTAAACAAATTGTATTTTGCAGTAGAATTACCTGATATTGTATTAAAAAATGAAATAACCGAAATGAATTATATTTTGCTAAAAGACAATGCATCATATTGATTAATTAATTAGTAATATAATTGCTAATCACAGACATTCTAAAATATGTAGAAATTACACATTAAAGCATTTTGAAATATCCTAGATCCTAATTATGTCATTTTTGTCTATAATTATAATAAGTTTTTGACGGAATTTATTTTCATTAAAGATAACATGTGGGATGAGATGTGAGTTTTCTTTTCCTGTCCTTAATTAAGCCCTTTTAGTGTGTATTGCGTATGGGATTATGTTTGCGTATATGAGCACGAGGGCACTGTCATGCTCAGCAGTGTGCGGGCGGCGCCGGCGCACCTCGTTGTCGTCGTCGGTAGGTGTGTAACAAACGCGTGAAGGGAAAGTATTGTGTTGCGGAATCGCGCGCGTCACGCCCCGCCTGTTACACTTCTCGGATTTTAGCATGAGCTGCTCGGCCTCAAGGTGATCGACTGTGGCCGCCCGTTGTCGAAACCACACCGGTTTCATTCAATACGTCAGTACCTACTCCGTTGAACCCGTCTGACATTGCACAATTAACACGATCCAGGTGATCCATTCATTGTTATTTTTATTTCGTACCTTATTAATTCAGTTTATTTGCTTTTGTAATAAGTTTATCTATTGTTTTGATCGTGTTGTTCCAGATGCGGCTAACATTCTGTACGATATGTCTTTTGGCGACAGTGGCGCTATCTGTGTGTCGGCCTTACGACCCAGATGACGACGGCTTGAAGGATGTGCTGCCCTCTGACGGACAGTTCGAAGCGTTCTATCCTCGTGAGGCGCACGGTATACCGAACGGTTCGTCGAGGCCTGCGCATGGGCACGGTAGTTTCTACAAGCACCGCAACCCGGCGCTAGTTGACGTGAAAAACGCAGCCGCATACGGTTTCCGCTTCGATGGCATGAGGAGATTCAACTTCGACGATGATGAAGAGTGAATGCTAAATCTGTGTCCATTGTAATTTCTATTCATTTTATTTTTATTTTACATTTTGTGTCTAATTTTAATTGAAAAGTTACAATAGCTCGGGTTTTATTTAAATAAAGTTTTATATTTCTGTACATACAATTTGCATTTATAATAAAACCCCCCACTAGCGTGCTTCCTTAACTGGCCGAATAATTAGATACTGAGTTTATTTTTGTGTTCTAACTGTTCGATAAGTCTCTGTCGAAAGAGAATATTATATAAATTAAGATTTTCTTTTAAAAAATACATAATTTCCCACTTCATAAGGAATACCCGCAGAGCTGTCGCATTGGTATTGGAAGGGGCTACAAATGAGATTTTCGACTGAAGATGTCATTTGTTGGCCCAGTTAAAAGAGAGGCACAGGCTGTCGAAAATTCAACAAAAAATAAAAGAAACCTATTAGAATGATGATGATAGCATTCAGTGTAATTACAGGGTTTTTTTTAAGGGGGGAAAATCATCGAATGACTGCTCCCGCCTGGGTGAGGCGGGAGGGAGTGTCAGACTCTTACTGACTAAAAACCACCCCGTCCCTTCTCCTGCACGTCGAGCCGGAGCCCCGGTTACCCGTTAGGTTCTCCGCGACATGTAATTACAGGGTAGGTTATACCTATTTATCTACTAGGTAGGGTACCTCGCTTGTCTAAATCGGCTTTATAGACTAAACTAGAAACCGATTCTATGGGTGACTGTTTATCTATACTTCTATACTAATATTATAAAGAGGAAAGATTTGTACCTATTTTTGTATGTTTGTAATGAATAGGCTCAAAAAGTACTGGGCCGATTTAAAAAATTCTTTCACCAATAGAATGCTTGCATGTTCTTCCAATTTGCCATAGGCTACATTTCATTTTGAAATAATTAGAGATCCTTGGTAAAATTTGAACAATGTACCCGAAGCTGTAGAAAAATGAATCTTAAAATATCTTTCGTCGAATGCGCTGCCGAAACTATTAGCGATAGAACAAAATAATGTCTACAAAAACTCCGCGGTAGCATATGTCCAACTATTGTAGTTTTGTCACTACAACAATCCAAATTTCCAAAAATAAATAATTGTCTACCCCGTGCGAAGCCGGGACGGACTGCTAGTCTCGAATAAAACGGTATCTGTCAAAATAAAACGGTATTAGGATACATGACGTAAATATTTAAAAAAAACTCGTATTTGTCGGAACCTGGGGGCTTACTCTTGAATCCAATTCCGATCGATCGACATTGGTATTGTGAAATTTCGTACTCTTGAGTTATAACACTAGCGCCAATTGCATCCGTATTGCGCGGATATTGAATAAACTAAATGGTATTGAGTTTAACTTTATATTCCGTACTCTGAATGCTATTTTAACAGCTACCATAGGAATTATATAGTGTTGACATTAAATAATTATTGAGATTTTATTGGATTTAAATTGCATTGACATTGAGATTGGTTTCAAGAGTAAGCACCCTGGGATACGGACAAGACTTCCCTCTGAAGAAACACCGACTTCACTGAGACGATTCATCATTGATATAAGTTCATTAATTTATTATTTAACAAATAATGTTCATAATACTTTTTTTTTTAATAACGTTACACCCCACACTAGCATTTTCTCCTGTGACGTGGGTACGTTTACAAACATACAATTTCACATGTACATGACACTTAGACCCGAAACAACAATTTGTGAATCACACAAAGGGTTGCTCCGTGTGGGAATCGAAACCGTTGCGCGGCAGCCAGTTGCCCAGCAACCTCGCCTGTGCAGTCAAAGTCAGTAATATATAATAATTTCGTTGTTTTATCTCCTTTGTTTTAATCGCAAATTTGAGGGCTCTCTTAATTCTCTCTTAATCTCAAATTTGGTTTATTTAAGCACGACTTAAAATTGAGTAACGTTTCAGTATTCCGGCATAAATCGAGGACTAATTTAAAGAATTCCCTTTGAACCTGCATTTGACAGCATGTAGTAGCAAGTACCTAAGGCTTTTAATTAACTCCTCGTCTAGACGAAGGTGAGTCAAAGATATCTTCCAAAATGTCGTTGACGTGTCTTTGGAAAGAGGCTTAGTGCTGTCTGTGAAGTTTAAACGGGCAGCCTTTAGATAGGTTTGCAAGCTCCCTTGTGAGTTTGAAGTAAGGATCTGGTTTAGATAGTACACGTTTTTAAAATTACTTTCGAATATGAGAGGTTGTTTACTAATAGTGTTTTTATTTAATTTTTTTAAGTGGGGAAAATCATCGAATGACTGCTCCCGCCTGGGTGAGGCGGGAAGGAGTGTCAGACTAATAGTGACTAATAACCACCCCATTCCTTCGCCTGCACGTCGAGCCGGAGCCCCGGTAACCCGTTAGGTTCTCCGCCACTCCGAATCAGCATCGGCCCTGTTGACCCCATCTGTGGTGGTCTGATGGCTCTTTGAGGCGCGCGTGGAACGCGACGCGCCTTACTAATAGTGTACGAGTCGAATAGATGTACATATGTATCGGGGCACGTGCACATTCACATCAGCACTTATACATCGCTTTACTCAAATCACCGTATATAGCGCCAGTACACGTTCAGCACTCATATTATATATCAGTAGGTAATCACCACATCAACAATCATAGCATTAGTTATTTGGTAGCGAAGTATATAATAAACGGATATTCCTTGACTATCAATGATTTCTTCTTATCTACATCTCAAGCTGTGTGCTCCATATTCAGCAGCGCATACAAATAGGTAATCGGTTACTAAACCGACTTGGGGGCTCACTCTTGAATCCAATACCCACCGATCGACATTGGTTTTGTGAAATTTCGTACTCTTGAGTTGGAACACTAGCGCCCATTGCATCCGTATTGCGTGGATATTTAATGAACTAAATGATATTGACTTTAGCTTTTCAATTCCATACTCTGAATCTGAATGCTATTTTAACAGCTTCGATAGGGGTTGTATAGTTTGACATTGTATAATTATTGAGATTGTAGGTATTTCATTGAAATTGCATTGACATTGAGATTGGTTTCAAGAGTAAGCACCTTGGTCTCAGTCATCCCAATCACTTTAATACCATTGTTGTAGGTACACCGAATTCAATTGACTTCCTGTCTTATATCGGTTCAATTATTTACTTAACCAAAACTTAAGGACCGTTACATGGTTTTTGAGTAAAACAGTGTCATTTTGTTCACTCCACCCATTTAAGATTTCATGCTCGATGTAGCAAAGCAAGTCGGAGGGGACCTTGTTGGAGGAACAGTTTGTTGGAGTTCAATGATAATGAACACGTCTCCTCGATTCGTCACGAGTGTCAACCGCATCCTTCCTTGCCATTACGTGGTCAGCAGACCGAAAGCGCCGCCCTTTTGTGTATACTTGGACTCAAAGAACTGTCTTCATAATTCAGCAATAACTTTGGACTACCTAATTGCCCACTTTTATGGTGTACTTGTACCTTTAAATATCGCAAAAGTTTACTTAGTTTTAGGTACAGCTTTGCTTTTGTATGCGTAGGCGGGTCACCTAATGGCTCATACACTCGGCGCCTCCTAAGAACTCGGTGCTCGGTGCCGCCCATGGATATCTATCCGCAACACCAACTGCATTTTGTAACTTAAATATTTTTACTTTTTTGACAAAGTATTTAAAACCAAAGAACGTGAATATAGTCTTTGGTATGCGGAAATGTAGATAACCTGTTACGGGAGTTTTCCGTTTAGTTCGAATTTTATTTAGGAAAGTCAGCCGTTAAGAATCTATGACACGCACCTATCCTATAATTTTGCATTTATGCTATAAGAGAAGATGAGAAGACAAGCTTATATGGAAAACATACAATCCACTACAAAACATACGTATAATTTTGTGGAGACACAAGGAATGAAAATTCAGTAAATTCAAATCAAGATACTTACTGAAATTTTACCAATTTCATGTTCAACCATGTCAAAGATAACTGTTCCTACCGGCTGAAAAATCAAAGGATTAGAAACTCTTAAAACCCACTATCACAGAGTAACCGTTCCTCTGTTGTTAGAAATAAAAAAATAATGTCGAAGATCAACCATGCCTATCAGCAGACATCCTTTTTCCTTTTAATGACTTATGAAATTCTCATCGTTAATTTTGTGTACCTAATAGTAGGCTGTAGGTATCCATAATAGACGCTTAGTAGATAATCTGAAGGCAAGAAAGTATCGAGGCAGCATTAAATACACCTCACTTTAAAACTCCATGTCAAAACACTTAGCCGCCGTCAGAAAAAAGTGTGAAATTATCTTAAGTGGCCAGTATCTAAGAAAGCCCTTTTTAAAATCAGGCTAATATAACGGTACGTTCTAAGTAAAGATAGAAGTGTAGATAAGTTAATAAGATTATTATTATACCTCATGTTGAGGTCGGGGACCGGCTTTTAAGGACGGAATGTTTCTGAAACCGTGTATAAAAAACGACTGGTCCCCAGGGATCGGTCATTCCGCGGCCGGAGTGGGTGCACGCATCTTCGTTCCCAAAATAACGACTTTTTGTGTTAAGGTTACTTAATTCTTCGTTGGAACTTGAACTAGTAGTATTGAGTTCAATCTCGGAGGGGGTGAACGTTAGTTAACTTCTCTCGTCCAGTTAGCACAACTCCATAAGTGCCATGTATCCGGATGCAGTCAAAGTGGTGAGTAGCATTTATTTATTTTAACACTTGCGATTTTTAATGCTGATGAATTAGCTAATAGTGCATTTTCTTTATTATCATTATAATATTTTAATTGTGTTACTTTGATTAAAAAAGTATTCCACTCTCTATTGGTAATTACTTAGACAAACATTATTGAATAAAAATATAAAGAAAAGAAGCCTGTCTCGACGCGCTCCTGACTATAATACAAAAGATTTATCCCTTTTTCGTGTTTACATTATTGGAGCTTAATGATTGTCTATTGTTGGGTAAGATTTCAATTTATGTGGCGGCAATAACAAGGCTGAATGGATGATGAGAGCAGATTGATGCAAGTCATCCCACGGGACGGTTAGTGCTCAAGGCGCTTCGGGTGCGCGGTGCGTTTGTTAACATCTCTGTTTTGACACCCATCGATTGATTGATTTATTGTAATTGAGATAATAATTTACTTACCATTATTTTTTATTATTTTTTTTGCCTTGTGAAGTAGGTTCAATAATGACTAAACCATTGATTTAAGTGTTTGTACTTAAGTTAGGTACGTTATTTCGTATTTATCATAGGCTTGTATTCTGTTTTTATGTGCTTTACTGACTCAATATTATATCTTAATGATTTGATTACATTTTAGGTAACCCATTATTCGATTTGTCTCGTATATCAATCACTAGTAAGAATAATATATAGGTATATTAAAGATGATGTTGATCTTCACGCGGTTGTAGGCGAAGCGTTGAAAATAAATTAAACATTTATGAGTTTGGGACTCGCACGCACCATTTAACGATTATCCACGGTCCGGTACAAATCTCTTTATAATGTTCGTATCTGGCGAAACACGGGAATGCAGTACCTATGGACCTATGATTATGATTACCCAAACGAATCCTCCATGAGAAGGAAATTCAAATTGTTATCCTGACTGTAAAAATTAACCTTCGAATTTTAATAGTTTCTAATTACTTCTCAACAATTAACCGTCCCTATATCTCAACATCCAATTCCGAATGGGAGGTGCACGTCCACAAACACGGCGTTGTTTATTAAAAATGCTAATTAAGAGAGTTTATAATTGAGTGGTTAGTATTTTTATAACTTGAAGCCATTAATCATAAATGTTAGTAGATGCGGATACCTCTAATTAACTCCAAGATTGTTGTTATTTACTGTTGTTTGTACCAACACTTAGTAAACATTTGTGTCAATCAATTATCTTTTTGCTTGCGACCTGTGTTTTTAATGCTTTGCGAAAATTGGCTCTAGCGCATAGCTTCAGCATTTTAAAATCAGGTGTAATTGTTTAAAGTAATTACCATTTGCCTTCTTTGAGTTCTTGTCATTAATATTTCAATTACATGTTATTTTCAAATGAAATATTGCATCATGTCATGAGAAAGTAAAGTATTGTTATGTATGGCCAAGTTGAACACCTATCATTGTAAATAACGAGTACCCACTTTCATTTTCCCCTTATCTTACATGAGGTGCGCTGTTTATTTTTATCATTTTTAGTTGTTACGTGACGACTAGATGTAACAGTGACTTATTTTAGTTTCTTTGCATAATGAAGTCATTGTTATTAAGTGTTGTAGTTACATGAGTTTCATTCGGTGTTTCTTCTTAGTGTAGTCAGAGGAACCGAAATGTTAGTCTCATTTAGTAAATTTTTTAAAATATTTACGTGAACCTGAAAATACTGTTTCGTAGCCTATTTATAGAAATAAACAATACCGTCATTTCACTGCAGTTTTTCTATTACAGCCATTTTGTATGTCTTTCTATGTCCAAAATGTATGTTGTTTGAAGAACATGATTTCGATGTATCTAATTTGTTCGTAGATGCAGTTTGTCCTGAGTCTGGCGCTGGTTGCATCGTCTGAGGCATTCTTCTTAAAATGGGGCTCGGATTCTTCGTAAGTAGAACTCAAGTTACTAATAAGCAGATCGTAATTACGCGAAAGTTTCGGTGTTTATCAAAAAATAAAGTAAAATGTAACACAGATACACACAAATTGATTGGAATACAATGGTAGAGTGTAGTGTAGGCCTATATGTGTTCGATTTTACCTTCTCCATTCCTATAAGATATCTATAATGTGGGTTACATACCTTACGACTTGCAGTTTTGCCTGTAAGCTTAAATCGTTGGTCCATTCCTTACATCCCACACACTTTCTGTTAATACTCAAAATTTTAGTTTCATTGCAATGCAATGCTGGTTGGGGTACAATGACCCTAATTATAATCGTTATGTCATTGTAAACACACTTGTAAATATGGTATTGGACCTTTAAATATTATATTGCTGCGGCTTGGAATTTCATCTAGAAGTAGAATGAGCCTAAAAATAATAATTAGCCAAAAAGATAATTACCTTAAGGTTATCTTTATTCTTTAATAATGTAGTACAAGTGCACGACTGTTTACTTTATATGGGACCCGAAAGGTGATGTTAAGTTAATGTTCTTATATTTTTTGGAAAAGAAACAGATTTATGTATACCAACTGAATCAGTGTAGTGATCAACCCTAATCTTCCTGCGGAGGTCGTAAGAGTCGGACTAAGGAACTACCTATTAGACAGAGATCACAACATTCTCTAATAGGTTTATCCACAGAACTACTAAAGTTGTACTATAACAATGTCTATAGGGTTAGTAGTGAAGTGAGACAACGTCATCAGACAAAATACAAAATGTATATTTCTATGACTAGACTAAATTTAAACTAAGTAATATCATATAAATACAAATAACAAAAACTTAAAAAATGTACACCTTAAAATTCTTAATAATTAAAATAATGATATAAATGTAGTCAACTTGAGGTTTAATCATTTTCAATTACGATCAATCTCTTCTGCCAAGCATGGAGGTGAATGGGTAGGTACGTAAGGGAGGCTTTTAGTCCGACAGCAGCCTGTTATGAAGTATTGATACCGAAACTGAAAGCACTGGCGAAGTAGCTGATTGTATTGCGAATGTAATTAACCTATGGTCGTGTAATTTTTCATCAAACAAACGAAACACCATATACTGTGAAACTTGGTTAAGTGGGACCTGGATAAGTGAGAAACCTCCATAACTGGAAGTCATGCTGAGGTCCCAACACTTTGGCACTGAATTACCTCTGTTAGTGGGACGAGGTAAACCTCTATATCTGGGATTTATTCTTTCGATTTATCATCATAGTTACCTCTATAACTGAGACAGCGAATAAACTTTATATGCATAAACCTCTGTAACTGAGATAACATTGTTTGTTTACTCATTCTTATTCTACCCACAAATTCCACACGTAATTCCAAGTCCACCTCTATTAATCGAACCCTCTGTAAATGAGACAGATATTTATTTATACCTGTATATCTGAGACTGGGTAAGTGGAATACCTCTTTAAGTGAAACGACATTGCAGGTCCCTTGATGTCTCACTTAACCAGGTTTCACTGTAATAAATTCCTGTAGATTCTCTTCACGTTTTAAACACTTAGATTTTTTTATGACATAAACCAATAAACGAGCAGACGGATCACCTGACGGTAAGCAATCAGCGTCGCCCATGGACACCTGGGTGCTTACTCTTGCAACTAATATCAATGTCAATGCAATTTCAATCCAATAAAATCTCAATAATTATTCAATGTCAAAACCCATTTCGTAGCTTTTAAAATAGCATTCAGAGTACGGAATATAAAACCAAACTCAATACAATTTAGTTCATTAAATATCCACGCAATAAGGTTGCAATGGGCGCTAGTGTTGCAACTCAAGAGTACTAAATTTCACAATACCAATGACGATCGATCGGAATTGGATTCAAGAGTAAGCCCCCTGGAACACCGAAGGCGTTACAAGTTATCGGCCTTTTGGGGATTAAGAGTTTGAATATCGTTGAAATTGAAGGATTGGGCAGATTGGGGAAGGGAGGGGGGTAATGGGGATGATGACAGGGTATGAAAATTAAAAATATAATTAGTCCGTAACTTAGGTAATAAAAAAATATTAGACACGTATTTTTTTATTTTGTTGTATAATAAAACAATACTTAGATAAAACGAATCAAAGTTTAGGAGTGGGGGGCTAAAACGTCATTTCTTAGTATAAAATGTACTGAGAAGTGACGTCACGCGACATTTCAAATCAATATATCTTCGAAACTATTCGTTTCCGTAAGAAAATAAAAAATACGTGTCTAATGTTTTTAAATAATCTACCAGACGGACATTAAAATAAAAATTAGTCGTCTACCCCATTGGCCCTGCTATAACCTCACTCACACGACGAAATACAACACAAGCGTTGTTTCACGTCGGTTTTCTGTGAGGACGTGGTATCACTCCGGTCGAGCCGGCATTTATGGCTCTCCCACACTTAAAGGTTATCTACTGCAAGCATATGCTAGCATATCCAATATATATATAAATAAAGTATGGATATCCATACTTTCCTCATTAGCAGATAAGTGTGGGAGATATTCTTTACTCCTTGTTCATGTAAAACGGGGAACGGTTTACAAGTCTATTAGAATATAATATAATATAATATCACGCTGTTTGGTTCCCAAGAGGAGGAGACGTTCCCGTATTTATTATAACTGTCTTTAACTTCTATCCAAGTGATGTTAGGTGAATCTATTGCCAAAAACCGGGTATCATTCCAGCCTCCGTGCTAATTCTCTCAAACAAAACAAACTGGAAATTGTTAAATAATCATTTACTTGACATGCAAACAAATCCTAAGACTATTTATTCTTCGTATTAGAAAAAGAAGCATACTAACACAAAATAGTTCCTATGTTGTTCCAAATAAAAACAATTTATTATTATTCCATATATTTATTTCAAAATTCTCTATAAAATACATTTTTAAATACTACTTATAAAGACAAAAATAATATTTAAAAATATAAAAAATAGGAGCCGACCAGTAGCGGGAGCATGGTCCAAGCTACCGGTGGTTAGGGCTCCAGAGACAGAAACCTCCTCACGATACGTGCCGTTTCAAGGAGAACTGCCTTCTGTATCAGGCCCTTGACCCATTTATTATTATTATTATTATATTATATTAGTAATAAATAATCAAATGTTTAGAAAAGAACCGTCTAGAAATGCTTATCAGAAACTTGCTTGAAAAAAGCTCTTTTAGTAAATGCAACTTGTAATTTATTTGGTAAAATCAATTCAAAACATAACATCACACCTTTAATACCCGAAGAGCTAGGCAGAGGTATTACAGCACTTAATGTCACTGTACAATGTAACACCCACTATTTACTATTTATGTTATAAGTCCCATGTGGTGGAGGTGCGCCAATTGCCATTCGCCGTACACAATTCCAGACTCCGTGTTACTACTGAGAATTAAAAAAAAACTCAGTAGAAGGAAGTCCCGTAACGCCGGACACATGTATTATCTCGATAACTGATAACACGAGCGATTCAATTTTTACTAAAAAAATTTGGTGTCTGCCACTGGGAGACTTCCCCCTAAAAATTGAATCGCTCGCGTAATTAGTTATCGAGATAATACATGTGTCCGGCGTTAGGTGCCGTCCAGCGTTAAGGGATTTCCCCCTAATACTTTGCCCGACCCGGGAATCGAACCCGAGACCTCTTGTCCGGCAGCCGTACTGGCAAGCCCTCAGCCAACAAGGCAGTAATCAATTCAATAAGCCATATTGTACGATTTACTGTTGTCGACGATAGATACTAGAAGCTACGGATTTCATGTCGCTTCGCTACTCATCGGTTACCGATTAATCGTCACATTTACACAATGCACCAGATAAAAAACTCCACGTTTCCTCATTTCATAAAAATAAATACTGACTCATTGTTTGTTCACTTTCGTGTTTCGGACTGGTGTGTCTAATTTTTTATCAGGTGACAGTTTTTGCTCTGCTGTTGTATTTCCTAAGATTCCTAGTTTCTTATAATATGTCGAATGATAAACGAACATTGTAATTAAGGTGTGTAAGTTTATTTCAGAAAATATCATATTTGATCAACCCTCAAATCCCTACCCCTGATAGACCGGCAGTCCTCTTGTAACTTCTTTTGTATTGCGGGTGTACATGGCCAGTGCTGGTTGCTTACCAACAGGTGATCTGTCTCCTTGTTTTGTTGCGGTGGCTGGGCAACCGGCTGCCGTGCAACATGTCGCGGGTTCGATTCCCGCACGGAACAACACTTTGTGTGATACACAAATTGTTGTTTCGGGTCTGGATGTCATTGTGTCTGTGAAATTGTATGTTTGTAAACGTACCCACGACACAGGAGAAAACCCTAATGTGTGATAACATTAAAAAAAACCCATAAAACAGTTAAGTAAAACAAATGTCCACACTTTTTTCAGACGCGTACCTACATGATTAGCATTTCACTAGTTATGCTAAGAATATAATTATCAATTATACAAATTACCCTAAATTCTAAACTCTGACCTTTCAACTTCAAGTTTGGGCATCATCATCATCATCATCATAAGTCCTGCCATCAACATAAACAACAATTGCCCATATAAACGCTTGTAAATTGTTTGCAGAAGCCAGTCATCCGCTCAGAAGACGTGGGTGCAGCCACTACCACCAAACATGTCGCCAGGCTACCGGTACCAGTATACGTACACGCCGTACGAGCCTCGCAAGGTCTACCAGATCCAGCCCCCGCAGTACTCGCAGCCCGAGGTGGTGCAGCAGAACCTGGCGCCAATCCCTATCAGTGTGCCAGCCGGGGCCAGCCTCACGCCCGTGTCTCTCCAACACGTCCAGCTGGTGCCGTGCATGTGTCCTGTCGCTCCCGAGGAAGCTGAGAAACTCCAGGAGCAAGTCGGCCCTGGCCCCTACATGCCACAGACATACAGCCAGCCGGCCTACACTGTCCCACAACAAGCCCCCTCAGACAATGGTCAAAATCCCAATAAACAGTAGTACGCAAATAAGCTTAAGCGTCAAGTTATCCCACCAATGACTGGACTCATTTAAACTATAATTTATTTCATTGAAATATTACTATTTAATTTATCGTCTTGAAGGAAAAACATCATTTTCAGGTATCTTTTTATATCTGAAAACCCATTATTTGCTATTGCATGAGGTTTTTTCTTCAAAATATTACGAAGACTGATAGACTAAGAACACGTGAACGTGTGTTCATTTATTCTAATAAAAGATAACCGTACTTTTGGTTTTATTTTGTGACACCTCAGTACTTACCTATCTACAGCATGTTCAGTACAATTTTATTGGTATTCACATTATTAGAGGTATTATTTTATAATGCGGTTCATCGTTCTCGAACAGACCTGCATTTGGTGCTTGAAAGTAAGTGACGGTATCGTGCGGGAAGTAGCATTGTGGAAATACATTCTTTGTATTTTCTGTACTATTCGAAACATATCTACTTAACGTTTCATACATTCAACCTCAAACAACTGTGTCGTAAGTATTTCGGAGAAGTGGTATCTTTCCATCATAAGCATCGTGCCAATTATTAGTCGAATAGTTAAGGAAGATAAACGATGATTAATTATTCGGTTTATAAAGTGCTTGAGTAACTTTTGCTTAGGAATTTTTTCTTGAATAAATCTTACTGTCCCATAAAGAGTGAAAAATGAACACATACCATCACATAAATAAATAATGAACAGTGTTAAAAAGTAAATTGATGATACTGTCGATATTATACTCTTTGCTGTCGATACTGTCAATGTCATAACTTGTCTATGAACAATAATAATATTTTTAACATAGATTATTATTATAAGTATGTGATTTTGTTAAAATGTATGAATATTGAGTATTTGATCTCAAAGTAAAGCGAATTTAAATCTTCTGGTGGAACATACGGTATAGTACCTATATATACTTATGTTTAATCATGAAGATTTTTTCGTCAAGGAGGAATAGTATGTTAACCTTAACAGCGCTGCAGAATAATATACAAGGGCTCACTCCGTTATACATGCCAATGAATCTAAATACAGAATTTCATAAGTCCAAAGTGACGGCTGTGAATAAACTGCATTACATTTTAAGCCACACAAACAGAAAACTTCTACAGGAACAGGACTTTAAACCATTGCTCCTGTGTTCTTTAACCCTGGTTTATTACTTTGGTATGCGAATTAAATTAAACAGACTCATTTCAAAATATTGGCATTGGTGTGGCAGGCGTCGATTTCATCAAGCAGAAACAGCCTTTCAAATAACTATGGATATGTTGTTACCAGAATGTAATGAAGCTACAATTAAGACTACTCTTAAGTTCTTTTCAGACGTGCAACTTTGGTCCTTTGAGAGTTTCGTTGAACAAATTCTGGAAGTGCTTCTGTTCTTCGACAGAGGAAAGACGACACTCTTCAACATGATGCTCACAGACATTCACTATGTCCTGTTCATCGACATGGAGTCAGTGACCAGACATCGCATGAGAGTCTTGTACAATTTACTCAAAAGTTCTAATTGGGTCATTGAAAATGGAAAGCTTTTACCGTTCGTCACACGTTTGTTAGATTTTTTCGCTTATAGCGTCTCCAAGGATGATGGAAGGACAACACAGTACAGATATCTTAGAAAAGGTTTCGAAGTATGTTTGCGTCGAATCTTTGAAAGAGTGGAGAACAAGCATCGTAAGTTAATAATAACTACAATGCTTAACTGGTTCTCAATGGTTAACATGAATCAGGAGCATGTCCTAGAGTTTTCCACATTGTTAGACCACGCTGCTGAATTTTATCAAGTGGGTATATACAAAGATAGCTTCGGTCAAGGATTGATTGAACACGTGCTCGTCAATTTAGTAGGATCTTCGAATGCCACCAACAGTCTTGTTGGTTGTAGGCTTATGCTGAAATTCTTAGACCGCCAGCACAACTCACAATATCTCGTAATTCCAACGTTGTTCTATGAATTTTCACAGGTATGCAATGATTCAATTAAATACAGTAGGTAAGGTATGAATCACAGAACATATAAAGGAGGATAGAACGGCCTTGTGGGCGGTACACGCGTGCCGCGGTTATGAGCAAATGCTCCAAATCTACCAAAATGTCAAAAACCGGCCATCAAACGCAATGTTGTTGTGACAGCGTACGAAACTCCGCAAATAATATTAAATTATACCGTCTTGGACTATTGTAATGTGTCGGAAAAGAAGACAGGTGTGCAATGTAGCACGAGAAGTGATTTCTTTCCACCAGTGACTTCAAAAACATTAATATACTTGTGATACTTGTAATTATAACATTAATATTATGACGTTTCTAGACAAAAACGACATTATCGCAAGCAGTATACGGTAAAATGGGGTGAATAGGGTTTCAGCGGCGAAAAGGGACAGAAGAGGGCTGAATAGATATAAGGAAATTCTTCATAGTATCGATTCACCCCTCTTCTGTCTCTATTCACCACACGATCCCTATTCACCCCATTTTACGGTACATTGCTTGCAATAGATACGTACCGTTTTGCACTACATAAACGATCGCGCAATGTATTACGTTCACAACGAGAGTCCCGAGTATCAAATCAAAACGTCATTTCCTCGAATCGATATAGAGAAGTGTCAATTTGTAAACAATGTCGATAATTATTATGATACAAAGGATTATTATCAAATTATACACATTATAACTAAAATAATTTTATTTATTACGACTAATTATGAAATAGGTTTTAAGTGAGGCATTTTATTCGTATTTCAGTTTTATATAATTTTTTATGTATTCGTTATGTTTTGTTCAGTAAGTAGACTGATTTTATGATTTAGGAAATTTTGTTTTACATTTCTACCTTGATATCATCTAAGGGACATCTAAATCATTTTTCGTAAGATGGATACTCTTTCATACATGCTTAGGCCCAAATTGTAAATAGTTGAAACTATGAGAAATTCTTAAAAGCCAGCCGAAATTTTAGTCAATAATTTAAAATAGTTGTTGAGGTTTTCTATTCGAGAACAAAGCTATGACAACAAATAAGATGACATTATATCCTGGGAGCGATTGTATTGTACCTTTTTTAAGAATAGCTATGTACACTTGATGACTTTTCTAGTTTTCAGAGCTTTTAGAGCTGACTTAATTTACGTGAGCTAAATATTGTGTTGGCCTGGAGGTTGCGGCGCTGTTTCATACAACTTATACGTACTTTCTAAGTTAATTTGCACACCACTCACATTCAGTAAAGGAAATTATGTAACCGAAACTATATAATAATTCCTATTTATATTAACTATTAAAGAAATACGAACGACGATTATCGGTTGTCATCATACGAATGTCATGATGATATCTAACAGAGACAATAACAGAGTTTTGAGCACAGATTAGATATATCATGATATGGTTACGTTATGATAATTCTCAATATTTCATTATTTTATGATTTTTCATTCCTTAGGGAGAAATTAAGCTATTTTATATATATATTGAATTAAGTAAAAATCTATTATTTTTGACGCCATGACTTCCCAGACTCCTTTTATTTTTATAAAACTTACAGTTGAAAACAAAACAAAATCGAAATAATACCTTTTCGGGTTTTTATACTTTTTTGATTACTACCAATCAACAATTTACTTATAACTATATTCCATGTCAAATTATTTTAATGTTAATAATGTAATTGATTTTAAAAATCAGTTATGTATTTTTCTATGTATAGTTATTTACATAAACGTAAATACATGTGCACAATATGCTTTATACAAATCCGCATAGTCCACAATACATGTAAATTAAGAAGCTAGATGCCATTAATTTTATCGATATCAATAATCGACCTTACGCTCCCCCTACCATATATGAGTTTTTTACGCCTGTATTAGTGTATGTCAAACGAAGTGATTGCGTCAGTGTGACGACCAATAACAAATCTTTTAACCTAGCGCGTGTTGTTTATTTGTGTGCATTTTCCGCGTAGGTATTGGTCTCTTGCTTGTAGTAAAGTTAAAGTGTGGGGGACAAACGGCGACGCGTGTTCTAATACAAATCAGGAACTATTTCCTTTCTAGCCTTCTTTATATGTTCTGTGGTATGAATGTTATAACAAAAGTAATTTTTATTTATTACATGTGTAGGTGCGACTAAAAGTCGGTGATTATGACATTAAAGACAAACTATTCATTCGATATCACAGAGAAAAGCTAAACAATAATCTGTTGAAGGCAATTAAAAGACACGGCACCAATATTGTTAATCTGAAAACTATATACACTATAGTGTGTTGTATGGTGTTGGAAGTACCTTGCGGACTGACAGCTGCAGCCGCCGCTTGCATCGTGATGGCCATACAAGATCAGGCTCTGAATGGAGAGAACATACCGGCGCCCTGCAGATACTGGCTGCATGCCGTCGTCGTGTCTATAATGTCCCTGATATGTTGGGTCCACAAGGCGCCCGTGCTTTACACCTACGTGAACCATATTGTGGCACGCCGAGCGAAGGAGGCACCACAATTAAACCCGCCGTTGATGTACTTTTACAAGATTGGCAGGCATCACGTCACATGGAATAAGCCTACCCTTTTTTTTGAAGACTGGGAATTACGTTATGCACTCTGGAAACATTTCCAAGATACACGGGTATGCTATCTGACTGCTGTACTTAACAACTTGTTACATGTAATGAGAGGTAGTAGGCAGTACGACCGTACCAAATTTTCATGTTTATATAACGTTGCCCAGTAGTTACTTTCCTGTTAGTGTTTATGTATTGTTATAGACCACACCATTTGCTGAGCAGACCATTACCAGAAAAGTACCATCACTCGATTTGCAAAATTGAAAAGAAGAATGTCTTACATAAAAGTTGAAGGAATGTTTGCAATGTTAAGTTCAATTAGAAGTAACGATTGAATTGTCTGTGTGCGAATAATGATAGGTTACGAGTCTTATTGGATTACAAGATTATATCGGAGGAAGTAATTTGCGAGGGTAAGCAAAAGTTACTTGTATGAATTCTGTAGTTAATGTTGGATGGATTACTGCTTTTTGCTATTTCCGTGTTATTGCCCTAGAATTTATTACGCACTGATAGTCCAAGCTATCACCATCGACACTACACTTATTTAATGCTAATAGTGCAAATTTCACTCACAGCGTCACGTATCAATTTTATAACCTCCTCTCCTGTCCCATGGGGCATTTTTCTGTTCCTTGGCGTGATTTACGGTGATGTCAAGATATACTGAACTGTACTCCTTACGGTGGTGGTGGCCCGAAGGTTTAAAACGCCCGTTTCTCATGCACGAGGATAGGGTTTAACAATCTAAGATTAAATATACACCAGTGACATGCGGTAAAGAATAACATCGTGAGGTAATCTGGGTTTATTTCTAATTATAAGTTTGCAATCACTGTCCCGTCTTGATCAAAGATGGTGATTAATGCTGAAGCCTTCTCCGTGTGAGACGAGGCTTGTTTTGGCACATCGGCTGTTAATATAATGTGTTCCTTAAAGTGATGTTCTTAAGTATTACTATGAAAAAGCGATATATAAAAAGAAAAGCGGAGTTTTTCAAAAGCTCTAACGATTTCAAAATCTTTTGGCAAACGTCCTTTACCATTAGCCAGCAGATTACAAACTAATTTAATTTAAATAATACAAACGAACGGCGTCAGGAATATAAAAGAAAAGGCGGATATATTGTGTGAAATTGGTAATCCTACCCCATCCACGACGTTTTCGGAATAATAGTTATGCTTTTACTTGCAAACAGACTTGACCTTTTTTATGAAAAAGGCAAGAGTTTATTTCACTTTCAACTGTATAGTGAATAATCACATCTGATGCTGGCCTCGCGACGAGTACTGATGACAATGTAAGATATAATTTGCTCAGCTCCCATCAGTTTCACTAGCATACTTAATGAGGCGAAGCTGATATTTGATTAATGCCCGTATTCTATTGTAATAAGTGAGTAAACTCGGAATTTTGACGTAATCTTGATTATGCTATAACAATTTAATTAATTGGAGAAAATTTATTTCATGCTCCCCGTTTTTAGTACTCGTTAGGTGTCTAGAACGTTTGATAATATGTTATGCATCTAGTTGCTTTTTCTTGTATGTTTGTCAATTTATTGTGTGGGTTATTTTTTTCTAACATGGCGACTAATGTGGCAGTACTGAGCTGTTAAGGTAATTGAGTCTAACGTCACGTAGTCAAATAAAACAATGAACACTCCAGCGCACTATATGTCTCCAGAAACAAAAATCATACCACGAAAGCAGTCCATTCAACATGAAAGAAAGATAAAAATACTAATATATCCCGTTTAGAATAGTACCTATTAGGTATTAAGGAATAAGGATAGGTTCCCACATTGTTGATGAGTCCTTTGGTATTACTGTCGTTATAAAACACGTTAGATATTGCGAAAATTGCAAGTATTAATAAAATCAATTTTATGGTTTTCGTCATTGCAATTCTATAATTATTTGAAACAGCCGATTCCGAGTTACGCGGCGTGAAACAATTTTATGAAAGGCAAATTGTTTAGACCATGGTTATCAGCAACGGTTCAGTTTACTTGTAAATATTTGTAAATAAACAACCGGTTATGCGGTCATAGTGGTTGCTTCTAAATTAATTTGCAACCCCTTTCAATTTCCTTTATCATTAACCTATAAAGTGTTGTCCTACTTTTTCGGTAATTGGCTCTTGGAAATTGTAGATAAGTGTTGTTCGTTTTATATTGTCATCAGACATTTAGATATTTGTGTTCTAGCTTTAAGCCAATGTAACATCTTAAGAAATATTATGGAATGCAAATAAAGAATATGTTTATAATATGAATATTTTCTGTGTTACGCCTACCGATCTCTATAATATTACAATTATCTCTTTACGTATATCAAGGGTCAGAAATGTATATTTAAAGACTAATGTAATCCTTTTTTATGGTTTGAATTTCAGTATTTCCAAGTAACTGAGCGAAGCTTTATCACTTTATATCTTACTAGTGACCCGCCCCGGATTCGCACGGGTGCAATATGCATGTATTATACATACAAACCTTCCTAAAGAATCACTCTATCTATTAAAAAAAACCGCATCAAAATCCGTTGCGTAGTTTTAAAGATCTAAGCATACATACGGACATACAGCGAAAGCGACTTTGTTTTATACTATGTATTGATGATGAATTCGATCTCTATAACATGGCTTCATAGGAATTAGGATTAATGGAACTGAGGAGAACTAAACAATATTTCATTGACTAATGATTTGTACCTACAAAATAACATAACATAACATAACATCTCGCCTTTTAGCCCCGAAGGGGTAGGCAGAGGTGCACACAGAAGTAACACCCACTTTTCACTAATTATGTTATGAGTCCTATGTAATAGGGGGTGAGCCTATTGCCATATACCGGGGACAATTCCAGACTCTGTGCTACTGCTGAGATGTTTTTTAAAAACCCAGTAATACTTTGCCCGACCCGGGAATCGAACCCGTGACCCTTTGCTCGGTAGTCGCACTTGCGATTTGCACACAATAATTATCGTTATTTAGGTAGCAAGTAGGTACTACAGACAAATTCCCTTTATTTCCATTACAACGTAGGAAATCTGTAGATCGTACGGGTCCGTAGCAGTTTTTGCGCGACGGAGCGTCTGCTTTGCTAATTATATAACAAGGCATATTCCTACAAAACATATCTAAGCTACAAAGGGAGGGGTTGGAGTTTTCTAGACTACCATTAGAGAGAGTTAACTACATGCGATACAGAGCTTCTGAAATAGGACGGTCGGATATCAACGGAATACTTGCACTTGATGCTAATGTATGCCATATATAAGTATTGATAGGCGCATCGGCATTCATTGCTAGTTAGTTGCCAGACTCGGGCGCATCGCATTGCAGTGGGAAAGTGCGAATTTTCCGTAAGTGCGCAAAAGCGTCGCACGCGCTATTCAGCGAATTGATTTCACACGCGCATCTCTCCGCGAGACTTTTTGCTTCAGACGACACATGTTCGTTTGCTGTGCTTTCCACTACATTGTTGTACAACAATAGATACGATTATGGATTGTAGAAGTGTGGTAAGTTTTTGTTGATCCTGTGAGAACGTTTAACTGTTTGTAACGATTTGCATGTCACTCTTTGACGTCTTTATCATCAAGTTAAACGAGTTATTAATCATCAGATTCATTTATAATCTTGTTTTCTGTTGTTCCCACGTTTGTAAGACCTAATTAGTTTGACATTTTTGATTAACTACACGAAGAGCTTATGGAATGTTGCGGTTGCAAATTGTATATGTCGTGTTTATCTCTTAATTGTGATGCCATGGGGGTCCCAATGAGAGAATCGCGCATGCGTCTATTGATTAACTAATGTCTGGGTTGATATAACTAGTGATTTGTATGGAGATTGTCTGCGTCGTAGCATAGCATAAATATAGGATTTTAAGCGAACGATTTTTAAGACATATAAATTTGATGTTACCAAGTCTCATTTCATGTTTTGGTGTGCAGTACATACAGTATGATAAATATGGCTGTCTTTCTTGTCCAATGTCAGTGAATTTTCATGTGTATTAGACCTTTTTATAGTTATGAACAAGGGGTGAAATAACAAGATTGGTAATTCATAAACGTATGGTATGAATTGATGTACAGATACTGGTTATAGGTTTATTTGTATCCATTGAATTTTACATGTGTAATATTTTACTTTTTAATATTATTTCGATTAAATCTGTTTGAGTTGTTGGTAGTCTAACTGCCATGAATTTTTTTTCTTTCTTTGTTTATCCATTAAATTTATTGTCAATTTAGTATTGAATCTGAATTTTTAAGGCAGTTTTCACACATGCGAGGTATGTTAGTTCGTTGGCATATTACTTCGTTAGCTAGCTAAGCTTAAATTAACTAAATTGACAGTGAGCAGGGTATACAAGTTCTTTAGGGGGGAGGGGGCACTATATTTCTTAAATGAAGATTTTTATATCAGGGGTAACCTTCAAAAGGTGCCTAGCTTTCCTGGGGAGAAAAAGCTAGAGAGTGTGGAATTCCTTCCTGACTAAAACAAAACGTAACACTCTACTATCGCCCGTTCTATTGTAAGTTCCATGTAACAGTTCTACGCCATACCTATAGGTTGATTTACGACCGAAAATAACCTGTCTCAATCCAAAATCTGTACATAAAGATCAAAACAGAAACTTCATTCGATTAATGTCAAAAATTGATCCATGTGTACAGATTTTTGGATTAATAAAGGTAATTCATTTAGAATGACAATTTTCTAAACTTATTTCGTCAAATTTCAACTATTTAATTTTGCTTGGAAATCGAGTCGTTGTAAGCTTGTAAAGCAATAAGGGATAACTTGCATGGTATAGATTAAAACTTCATCATCAACAGCCTATAAATGCTCACTGCTGAGCAAAGCCCCTTTTCACATTTGAGCTCTTTGAGCATTAATCACCAGGCTTGCTCAATGCGGGTTGGCGATTACAAACTTATTATTAGTAATTATAAGTCCAGGTTTCCTCACGATGTTTTCCTCCACCGTTTGTCAGGTAATCTTAGAAAGTACATACAACTCGGAAAATGTCACATTGGTACTTGCCGTTGGTAGGTTTCGAACCCTCATGCACACTCATGCATGAGAGCTGGCGTCTTAAACCTCCGGGCCACCACGACATTAAAATTAAGATTAAAGCTTACATGAGGTAAAATTAACTACAAACAACATACAGGAAACGACTGCATACTTGACGATTGCCATATAGGTGGATTTACGACTTGATTTTTCAAGTATACATTTGACATGTTTAGAAATTCAACCGTAAATATCACGTAATAGGGCCCACTATAACACTGAGTAGATCACTAGACTCCATATCATAGTCAATGCTAGCGATGGTCTGGTACCTACGCATGGAGGTAATCACTGGCCGTTAATAGATGCTCGAACTGTCTTATTATAATTAGACATAGTAGGTAACGCTCGACTTCATCATGGTATCATGCTACCATGGCCTCATAGAGAACTACCTTGAAACAACGCTTGTTTTGTGTTTCACTGTGTGAGTGACGTTATCGGAGGCCTAATCCTCACCATATCCTCAATTTTCAAAGGGCCGGCCATAAAGTGGCTTCCCTGGTGCGTACAGGCTATCTCTCTGCTCGTTTGCTGACCTATTCCATAGAAAAGCATCCAATATCCCTATGACACGTTGTCTTACCGAGGAATCAAACACGACATCCCGTGCTCGGCCTCGCGTTTGTGACCACTAATTGTGGAGCCTGAACAATAACTACCTAAGTCTAATTAAGGCCAACACAATTTTGATTTTTTTTAAACTGTCAAACACCAAGCGGTCACCGGTGACCGCAACCTATTGTTCTATAATTGTGTCTACAAAACCGGTACTCGACGAGTTAAGGGGAGAGAATCATCGAATGACTGCTCCCGCCTGGGTGAGGCGGGAAGGAGTGTCAGACTCTTACTGACTAAAAACCACCCCGTTCCTTCTCCTGCACGTCGAGTCGGAGCCCCGGTTACCCGTTAGGTTCTCCGCGACTCCAATTTTGACTGCCTTGTTGGTCGTGCTCGTGTGTCAAAAATGCCCACGAATTAAATGTATTTACTTATCCTACTAATATTATAAATGCGAAAGTTTGTATTTATGTTCATTTGTTGCTCCTTTACGTAAAAATGGCTAAAGGGATCGAGATGAAATTTGCAACAGGAGTAGGTTAAGGTCTGGAATATTGTCACTTTTTAACCTTCAAGAACGCGGGCGAAGCCGTTGGCGGAAGCTAATTCTAAAATAATTATCATTTTACAAAATCACTTTTTGACTCTGGTATCTGGTATCATCATGCTAAGCGTCACTCATCACATGCCACTGATTAAATTTTTATTTTTTTTATTTTCAGATCCTGCTATGCCTTGCAGCACTTTTGGTGTTATTAGTTGTCAAAACAGAAGGGTAAGTAATCATGTATGTAATACAAATAACTTTAATTCCTTAACAATTACTAGCTCAACGACTAACCTTATTGCGACTGCTGATTTTTGAAAAACGAAAATGGATCAATAACGGTTTTCGCGTCTGGCAACCCAACCCGGGACCCCTTATTTGACAGTCGCGTACTTGCGACCATTCATACTAAATATTATGACCATTTAGAGTCTCATTAGACTGAAGGAAAAGCGGTCAAACTTGAAGTACAAGTGAATATATTTCTATTTTCAATACATTTATATTGTTACGTACGAAGGCTTTTTTAGCGAGCAAAGATATTTCTGATTTGATTCTATGTTGGCAATAGGTAGTTGCACGGGAATGAAAATTAAAAATGTAATTAGTCCGTCAGTTAGATAATGAAAAATATTAGGCAATTTTTTTTTATTTTTTTCGAATTAAGTTAAAATACTTAGATAAAATGGAGTTAAGTTTAGGAGTGGGAAGTCGTTACGTCACAAAGTGCTACAAAATGTAGCGCATTGTGACGTCACACGATATTTCAGATTAATCGTCGAAAGTATTTAATTTAGAAAAGAAAAAATACGTGGCTAATGTTTTAAATTATTCTACCAGATAGGCATTAAAATAAAATTTAGGCAACTACCCATCTAATGATGATACTCATTGGGATCAGTTGTCATTAACTATGTATCTATAATTTTCGTTAATTATTCGCCAATTAACTAGGTAGATCTAAATACACGAGAAATGTCCATGACATTCATCTTTATCTGAACAGTACATTGATCTTATAGCATCACTTATTTAGTGACCAGAAAACCTTGCATGAAAGACGGAATGCAATTATTTGTGAAATAATTGCATTCCAATTTCAACCGACAGAAATGCGAGGTTCTTGATTCGACTTGTTTTTAATCTAGTAGAGTTTGTATCTATTAAAAAAGAATGTCAGATATGTAGTTAACAGGAAACGTTGGAACAGCACTCACGCGCATCGAAGTAGGAAGCTCCCGAAATTATTGGCCTATGACGGAACTCCAGTAAAATATAAACCACTGTAGGTTACCTCCACCATTGTTGTTACTTTGTTACCTCAATTGTATTATGCGCACAGCATAACGACAGACAGACGACGACAAATTGCTCTGTTACGGTTGTAGGTAACACGCATATATACATGGTAATAAGCACAAAGTATATAAGTATACACTCAACTACTATATTAGCTGTATTGTGTTCATTTTCCGTTACACAATAATGCGATAAATATGCGAAATTGATATTTGAATGTATCATGTGAGTTTCTACCAGTTTATTATTGTCACACTTTTCAAATTTGTTATTGTGCGCCAATTCTATTGTTGCTTTAACTTGGCTAGGCTGATTGATTGCATATGCTTAAACTACCGGGTAAAAGGGGGTTTAGAAACTCTAAATTATTGTCTGAATCATGTAGGCTAGTTTATTAATAGATGAATGAATTTCAATCATAACTGCTTAACGTCTTATTAGGTTGTCACATATAAAGATTTGGTTTTTTACTGGACCCGTTTAATTTCCATTTAGATTTAGTCCTAAATAAAATAGGGCATGACAAAATTCTCCAAATGTTTTCATTCTTTGCTAGTTATAACACTAGTCTTCCACGTAACTTTTATCAATAAAACATAAATCTGTAATCCACAGACGAAACAAGAAGGTGGTGATCCACGTCCCAGTCAAAGTGAAGAAGATAAAGCACACGCACACAGTGTACAAGACCATCCATCATCATCACAAGCACCGCGAGCCTCACATGGATCATAGCCTCGTGAGCTCCGAGGAACATGAGCATTTCCACCACTTCCACATACATGATGACTCCCCAGTTGGTCAGCACAGTCAGCCTGCTCCCGGGGTTGGGATCCCGGACTTCCTACCAGATAGCCTCTTGGATGTCCCGCTCCAAATTCCAGATGTGCCTCCCCATGAGATTCCTGGTCTGCCAAACCGACATATTGTTCCACTCTATAGAAGGATTTAGGTGAGTGTAACGTTTATTGCAATGTTATAACTAATTCGGATTTGTTAAGTAATGATTTAAAAACCTCAGCAGAAAAGTAAACGTTTTAGAATGTGAAATCTTCATACGCAAATGATTTTTGGTTACAGGTGACAGCTACATGCAATACGTGGGTTGGGACAAGCCATAATAGACTGACAAAATAAGCTTTACGACATTTATATTTTTGGGCAATGATTTGGTAATGTCAAAAGAAATTAATTGTAAATACATAAATTGAAATAGTTTTTGTAACATTTGAAAATCTTGCAACATCTATGTATGCATTCAGTACAATAACCTGTCTATTGTCTATCCTTCGTGTGACTGAACTGAATCAAGTGTTCGTTAGTCAATTATTGGTAATTGTGATTTCTTTAGAAATACTCATAAATTGTTATAATATATTGTGTAATTGGTTATAAATTCGTTTTACGACTTAATCTTTCTAACCAACCGTATTCACAGACATTTAATGGCAACTTATACACGATTCCTTAGTACCGATTTTGTTCCGAAAACAATTGCCGAGGACTGCGTTAAGTAACCATTTAACGACTGAGAGTTAAGCGGCGGTAAGAAAAGCGTGCTAAAGCCAAAGTCACTAGGGGACAAATGTCTTGCGACACATGTCGCCAGCGACGTCGAGTGAAGTAGCGCGACGTTGCCGGACTTTGGTCGACATGTCTGGCAACATCAACGTCACTGTGGACATAAGTTAGTTATAGTTACCGTATATGTCAGGCGACATCACTTCATCAGGCTTCGCTCAACATGTCGCATATACATGTATTGCGACATTTGTCTCTTGCTGTATCCCTTTTTTTTTTTTGAGGGGGGAAAATCATCCAATAACTTCTCCCGCCCGGGTGAGGCGGGAGGGAGTCTCAGACTCTTACTGACCAAAAACCACCCTGTTCCTACTCCTGCACTTCGTGCCGGAGCCCCGGCAACCCGTTTAGTCTTCCGCGGCTCCGTATCGGCATCAGCCCTGTTAGGCCCCATCTGTGGTGGTCTGATAGCTCCTTGAGGCGCGCGCGGAACGCGATGCGCCGTACGCTCGGGTCTGGCTGTATCCCTGGCCTTATATTACGTTAAGATTTATCTTTAAGTAGTTCTTACTACATAAGTGGACTATATCTAATTTGAATTTAATTTCCTAAAAAGCTTATCAAGGCTAAAGTCTTTAATCTAGAATTTAGATTAGTATATAACCGCAGGTGACTTATCTATTAAAAATTAAATATTGTACAAATATTATTAAATACTAACAAAGACATGAATTGTATAGAAGTTATGTTTCGTTCTTTCTATGAACTATAATAAGACTGACTTGAAATTAAATGATACCTATTTGATACTTCAAACGAGAGCACTGACAATTGGAAAACAAAATCTTGTTCATATATTTCATAATAGGATATATTATATAGGATAGGAAAGCTGGGGAATTTAAAGGCATTGCCTTGTTCAGCAGTAGACGTCTCCCTGATGTTGATGATGATGGCGATGATGGTATGGATAAACAATGATATGAATGAAAAAGGAGTTTATGATAGGATGACGTCTGTTATGTGAGAATGAGAAAAAGGATATTATTACATCCGTAAGCAAACGAGGAAGAAGTAGGTAGGGAAAAGCTTAAGAAAATATATTATTTCGAAAACCTGATGACATTTTATTGACTGATGAGGTATCTCATAGAGAGACTGTTCAAGATTACTTTCTTGCTTAATTTATTTTAGTTTCTAATTACTTAGAGTCTATAGGTTGTGTGTCATGAAATATTGTTAAGAAATCCTCTATAGTGGAGAAGGGTTAATCTTTGATGTATTCGTTCATGTGAGATTGGGTTTACATACCCACGATACAGGAAAAATCTAAGTGTAGGATAATATAAAGTTGAAGAATTAGTTTTATACCTACTGGTTAACATCTCGCTACTTTCTTTAAGAGCAGAACGTGTAGATGAAACAACAGGGAATGAAAATACTCTTGTACCTAATTATGGCAGAAATGAATAACTATCTGTATCCAAAATCTTCAATATTCAGGTGGCGTATTATGACGTCTTAAAGCCAGTCCAGAGTAGTTCTGTTGAGGGAACGAGATCACGCTAGACGACTAGTATAGCTCTGTTTCTTTTCTCAATGTAACAAGATCAACTCCATCCTGACTTTTTTTAAGGGGGGAATATCATCGAATAACTTCTCCCGCCTAGGTGAGGCGGAAGGGAAAATCCACCCCGTTCCTACTCCTGCACTTTGAGCCGGAGCCCCGGTATCCCGTTAAGTTCTCCGCGGCTCCGAATCGGCATCAGTCCTATTGGGCCCCATCCGTGGTGGTCTGATGGCTCTTTGAGGCGCGCGCGGACCGCGACTCGTCGTACACTCGGGACCATCCTGACTTGGACGTCATAATAACCCCGCTAGTCGCTTCCAACCGGCCTATCTGGAATTCATTGGAGAAGGCCTATGCCTTGCTGGTTTATATGATGATGATAATGTTTCAAAATCTTTGGATTTGGGTTTATGAGGGAAAGATAATGCGACCATTGTTTAAATAACACTTCATTCTAATCAAAGATTTTCGATAGAGATGGGTTATCGATTCAGCCGTTAGTAATAGTTGTAATTTATTTGTATCATTTTATGACTTATTTATTTAGCTTTCATCTTTGCGATATTTCTTTACAAATTAAGTTTTTAATATTAAGATTGATGTTATAATAAATTAAACTAAAACATTTATATTGTTTCATTTGTGTCATTAACAGATGTTTTTGTCAGATTGATGCAATTAATTTTTTCACGTGTTGTGTTCTTAAACTGTCAAACACCAAGCGGTCACCGGTGACCGCAACCTATTGTTCTATAATTGTGTCTATAATGACGGTACTCGACGAGTTAATTTTGTTTTGACTTATGTCCGAATAAACAAAAGCTAATTTTAAGATGCGCTTGAATATAATTCTGTCACTATAAATTCTTTGTAAATTACAAAGATTGCACAATATTTAAATAGTTACAACTTCAAATTGAGTAGCCTTTCATTACTGGAGATTACGATACTGAAGTGTTCGGGGGTTAATGATAGAATTTGACTGATGAACTTTGACTGTGATGTTTACCTATATATCTATATAAATAAAAAGGAATTATCGTTTAAAATTCGAGTACGGTTGAACCAATATAGCTAAGTTTGCTCCTGAAATGTTCGTGGAAGAGCAGGGAAGGTTTAAAAGGGGATAAAATATTTGTAAGCAGTACGAAGTTTACTGGGTCAGCTAGTATATATTATATAGTATATAGTCACTGATTAAACTTAACAACCGAACTTAATTTAAAACCTACGTAAGGTAAAACAGTTTTATAAGGTCTACACAACTAAACAAAAGTGACAAAAATAATGAAAATATTCTTAAGTTTTTTTCATAAGGGACTTTTGATAGACCGTGTGAAGTGAAAAAGAACCTAACACATTAAACCTACAATCTCCAACAACGCCTGCCAGGCGTGGTTATTATGTAGTGTAACCTATATACACGACACGTACATATACGTACTTAATCAGTATAGTATAAGGTTTAATATTCTATGTCTATTTTGGTTTCGAAACTCAATAACTCAATGGTCTACATGAATGTGAACCACTTTTCCTTTTAAATGAAGAAGTAAAAAAAGAATAAAGTACGCTAACAAAGTTATTTCTTTGCCTCGAACCTGATAAAGTCACTATTGTACTTATTGTACTTACATAATGGCAATAACTTATTATGTCATAGATATTTTAAATTAAAAAAGTAGGTTATGTCCGTTGTTACATTTTGTTTAAAATAAGAAAAAGAAAAAATGTTTGGAATTCTGTTTTGCGTGAGGAATCCATCATTTTCTATCGAACCACCTGTGTGAGACATCAGACTCATCAGATGAAGAACTTTTCATGGTTACTGTGTATTCCTTGGATACAAGTCCATCCAGAACATCACCATCATCTATTGTTTCCATTTACCGGGTGACACTAGAATATGTAGTTGCATAAACCTTAGGTAACTAATTGTCAAAACTTGAAATAGGACCTGGCAATTATTTTAAGCACTCGTTGTTAAAAGCTTTTAAAGGACTGTTTGTAATAATTGATAACATTGAAAGATCACAAGTATGAGCCTATACTCGGAATTTTAATTCGATTCCAGATTTGACAATTTCAGTGTTGCAACGTTATGACAAGTACTAAATAGTGACGTTGCGAAATTATTCGATATGGAAATGCAATATTTCTGGATAGATTCTTCTCGTTTATAATTTTACTCTCGTAAACTAAGGATATCAGGAAATTAAATATTTCTGACTGATAATTTAGTTTTGACGATTACTTAACGATCTGAGACTTTTCTTTTATAATTGTGTGTGAAATAACTAAAAAAATGTAATCATGAAGGAACGTGACAAATAAAACAGATAGATGTATTATGGTAATAAGTTATTTTATAAATTGTCGGCGTCATCGCTATCGCTATCCTGTCACTTTCTGTAACATTTATTATAAAACACACACACACACACACTGATTGTTTATCGATTTTTGTGTTCATCACTACACTATTATATGTGGTATCATTATTTCACAAAATGACAGTAGCTATTGTCAAATCTGGAATCTAATTAAATTTCTGACTATAGTTTTCATGTTCTGTAAACTCATTTAAAACAATGGATACTTAAATATAAGTATAAAAATACCAACAACATTTTGATACCAATTGAAAAAACACACAGACTAGGTAATCACTTGAAACAAACCAAAAAGTACAGTCACTAACGCACTGGTAATCAATATATTCAATCGTAACGAATGATTAAATTTTAATGGGCATACTCTAAAGAGTTATTTATGAGCACGATTTGACCCTTACAAGTTTTATTTATTGGACGCCACCCCGCACTTATAGAAATAACTAATCGATGTAATCGACCTTACTCACAGCGTCTTCTATTTTTGTTGAGGTCATTCAACGGAGGAGCCAAACTTAGTTGAATGAAGTATTATAATGTAGTTTGTTGTATAACTGACCGTGCGCATTCCAGTATAACTGGGTTATCCAGAAACCTAGACTGAAGTGTATCGACAGATCTGTAGGAAGAACGCAGTCGTAACTATTACAGCATCTACGTTGCGGTTTCGAACGGTAGTGAAATAGTTATTACACACAGAGCAAGCAAAAAACCGCTGCCACCTTATTTCCGGGCGCACGAAAAGAACTCTGCATCGATGGAAACTAGAGCGACAATCGTCCCCTCGCGCACGCCCACTATGTCTTGTGGCATGCTTCGCCGACAGAAGCAATTGTTCTCTTTTTGTTGATATTACGGGTTTATTTAAGCGAAATTGGATAAATGGTCATCTCGCGATGTTGCGCTACTCAATCCAGTGCGGTGTGGCGGCGGTGCGGTGCTGCCTCGTGATGCTCGTCGCTCCACTGCTCTAAAATAAAACTAAAAATCTGGAAGGAAAGAAAGTATTGGTTGTGATGTAAAACAAAATGTGAACGTAGGTCCGTTTCTTTGGTGTTATTAGTTCAGCTGTACTGGTCACCGCGAGTTGTGGACTGTTGTCGTGCTAGTTGGTGGACGTGCTACAGACATGGATGTTACCAAGTTCCTCACGGTGCTCGTGGTGCTGTGCCTCGAGGGAGGCGAGACTGGAGGCGGAGGGAAACACCAGTAAGCATTCGCGTATTACTTACACGTTATTAAATTCTATTCATACTAGTGCTGTGTATAATTTGAGATATTCAGGAATTTTATTGAAATAATTGTGTTTTTTGAAAAAGTATCAAAGATACAGTTACAGCATATTTAGATAGAGCCTTTAAGGCATAACTATATTAAGTTATAAAGTACATTATGCATATATTTTCCTTCTTAACACAAGCGAAATGTCTGTGCTTAGCTATGCGACAGTCTCGAAAGTTTGAATTAGGGTAATGTAATGTCACGCTCGAAGGGAACCAATCATGGCTAATTTATTTAATGGTGATTTTCTGCTTTGCTACAGCGACTTTATCCACAATTGTATTTTTATTTATGTTACTGTTTGTTTATTTATGGTCATCATTTGTAACTTATTTTTCAGTGACCACGTGCGATTGCACATTCCGGAGTTCATTCATCATGATCACCATAAGAAAGTAATAACAATTCATCATCATCACCACAAGCCAAAGAAAGAGCATCATCATCATCATCACCACCACCATAAGCCACAGATGCCACATGGACATCATTACCATCATCATCATAAGAAGGTTCATACAAAGTCGCATACAGAAACGAAGGGGAAGCATCACGGTCATCATCACGGGCACCACCATGGCCATCACGGTCATCATGGACATCATGGTCATCACGGGCATCACGGTCACCACGGCCACGGACATCACCATGACGCGCCAGTCGTGCCAAGCTTCTCTTACACTCCCAGTGCTATTCCTTCCTATGAGGACGACTATTCTCATTCATATTCCCCGTCAGTACCTGCTTACGGTGGCATCCCAAGTACTGGTTTTTCCGTTGGTCAGAGCCCTCGAGTACATGGAGTAACTCACACAGTAAAACAAGTGAAGGTGTTTGACTCTTTGCCTGGTGCATTACCTAACGCTGGTGGCGGTGGTCATGGCTACGAGGTGACGGAAGAAGGCGAGGAAGATGACGATGTGTTCACAACCGTCAATCAGCTACAAAACAGATTTCCGGCGACATTCGGCTATGTTCGTAGTGCTGCTCCAGAGCCGACAAATGATCCATATTCTGAATTAAGTTCACATAGCGCGATTCCAACACAATTCGCAGCAGCCCCAGTGCCTACGACGGCACTTTCTGATGGAATTGAGACTTTTACGGGTTCTGTGCAGAGTGATCCTTTTGCGTCTTCTGCTCCAACACAGGGCATAGGCTTACCCAGCGTCCAGCCATCAGCTGACTACCCCGTAACGTTCCAAGCTGAGGGCTTTGACGGTCAACTTAACTCGTTTACAGGCTCCGAAGGTAACGACGGATCTTTCATTTCCCACGAGGAGAACAATCTATCTGATGATGCTCCCGTGTCCTTCACAAGAGAGGCTGGTATACAACATACCACGAACACAGGCAATGTTGAGACACTTGTCTATTAGATTTGTAAGTAATTTAAAGTTTACTGTAGTGTCAATAATGGGACCTTAATATCAAAACTGCCTAGAGTTTGTTAAAATAGTCGTGAGGTCATTACAAGTGAAGAACAATAGTATTTTAATTACGATTCTTTTTCATGAAATCTATTGTTCTATAGATAACTTATTCAATAAATATAAGATGAAAACGAAAGCACAATCACGCAAACTCTAAAGCGTTTAACAATAACAGTTAGTACAAAAAGATAATTCGAAGGAAGTATTTTTAATTGTTATCCTTTGTTACTGTTTGATTGTTATTTAGTCTGTCTGTAACAGCTGTAACTATCTATTCAGTTATTGAAAGCTCTTATGTCACCAAACTACTTACATAGTAATTTACTACACCCCAAATAGTAAACGACGTCGGCTGATTCGACTCGCCCTAGATCCGTAGTTGCGCAAGTTGTTAAAAAACGTTTTTTTAACTGTCAACGTAACTGTAGCAGAATAATTTAATAAGAAAAAAAGTTCTATTTAAGTGTTGTGTAACTGGACACCATTGGAAATAAGAAAAATATACAATAGTTGTTTGTCTGGGGAGTTTTGTGTGACTTGAATTAATGGTATCTTGACTTGATGTGTTTCATGTATTCATAAAATTTTGACGGTACGCAGGCGTTATATTACGCTGTAACTACGTTCGCCTACATAAGAAACTTTGACCTATTTTTACATTTTCTTCATACGAATCAAATTTGAAATAAGTTGCGAAAAATTATGCTTTCAATAATAAGGTTATTCATATATACTTTACTTATACGTTATTTTTCTTATTCTGGACTTGTAGTGTAAAATAACTAGATATTTCCCATTATTGTTGTTGTTAACATTACTATTAATACTTTAGTTTACAATGTGTTATAGTTTTAGTACCTAAGTACCTATCTTTGTATTCCCTACCGATATACCAATGAATTATTATTGTTTAGTTATTTAAAGTTAATTGTTAAACTTTGTTATTTGTTTGTTACATAAAATAAAAATTAGAAATTTTGTTTTTTTATTATTTGAAACTCTCTTGTCAACAGCCTGTAACAGTCCTCTAATAGATTATTAAACTCCTTTGTACAACAGGATTTTCGATAATCTTCTTGGTAGGCGCAGATTGGAGGCTGTAGTACCGTAGTAGATTTTAAACCGGTCAGGATTGTCTGAGGGCTTTTCTGCCCGATGTCTGTCAATTATTTATGTAGTTCCTTAGTGAGTTCTTACATTAACGACCTAGTTTTTTTAAGGGGTAAAATCATCGAATGCCTGCTCCCACCTGGGTGAGGCGGGATCCCTCTTACTCTCTAAAAACCACCCCGTTCCTACTCCTGCAATTCGAGCCGGAGCCCCGGTAACCCGTTAGGTTCTCCGTGACAGAAATGTTGTCAATCGTCGCAACACGTCGCCATCAGTACGTAGCATGGAATTTACTATAGTTTCATAATAACAGAAAAAAAATTACGTTACCCCACACTATTGTCTCCTGCGTCGTGGGTGCGTTTACAAACATATAAGTTCCCACCCATGATACCCCGACCCGGAAAAAATTGTGGATCAGACAAAGATTTCCAAGGGAATACAACCCAATACACGTTGGCTGCCGGTTGCCCAGCTACAGCGCCAACCACACAGTCAAGTTGAACTTAACAATGCCTTCATTCAGAAAGATGTGATTAAAATAACCACAGAAAATTTTAATAATTTTATTTTTTTATTTATTTATTTATTTATTTATATCAGGCAACGAAGGCCCATATTAAAATACAATAATACTATAATATCTACTACAATTTCAACTTAAAATACTATAAATACATAATGTAAGTAATAAATATAAACACTAATTATCACGACTATTGTGCTGTGTCATGGTAATGCACTATGGTGTCGTGGTGGCCCGGAGGTTTAAGACGCCCACTTCTCATGCATAAGGGTGCGGGTTAGAAACCTACCAACGGCAAGTACCAATGTGACTTTTTCTGAGTTATATGTACTTACTTTCTAAGATTATTCAGACACCACTGGCAAATGGTGAAGGAAAACATCGTGAGGAAACCTGGGCTTATAATTTCTAATTATTAGTTTGAAATTACCAACCCGCATTGAACAAGCGTGGTGATTAATGCTCAAACCTTCTCCGTGTGAGAAGAGGCTTTGCTCAGCAGTGGGCATTTATAGGCTGTTGACGATGAATGCACTATGACTATGAGTCTATTATAATAATAAAATGCACTAGTTTTGCATATTATGACATAGATTTCGGATTTTAATGGAGTTTCGGTCCTTCCGTTACTAGTGTCTTACTGACCGACTGGCAAACAAGGCGCAGTCGAAATATAGGAATAATGTCAAAAAATATATAAGGAAGTTTAGGAAAATTAGAGAGACTGCACGGTTGGCGTGGTGGCTGAACAACTGGGGCTCGCGCGGGTATTCCCGCATCGAACAACTCTTTGTGTGATCCACAGATTGTTGTCCCGTGTCTGGGTGTTATGTGTATGTGAACTTATGTTTGTAAACGCATCCACGACACCAAAGAAAATCCTAGTGAGGAGCAACGTTTTTTTTTAATTAAAATTACTTTTCACCAAATAAGCATTCTTTCCGCATGTAAATTAGCACAAAAGTGGTCGTTGTTGTAATAAATAATAAGAAAGTTAAGAAAGAAACTGCTTCTCATTACCTACTTTAATTTAAAAAATGACGAAAATATTACCTATTATTGTTTAGATATAGACCAAGAAACCCTCGTATTATTTGGAACGAGTCCATATTAGAGATAACCTTTCCATTTAACCTGGGCTATTTAGAATTAAAACAAGTCTATACTACAAGACACGAAACCACGGCACATTCCTTAAAACTACAGAAATGAGAGTTTTCTGTGCTTAAAACGGTAAGAGATGAAACTAGGATTCGAACCCAGTACATCCAGTTGTTTATAATGATAAAGCAAATCACTTCCTAATAAAAATACCTACAGATTACTGTACATAACAAATTCTCAGGAAAAACAGAGTATGTAGGTACCTCTGTACCTACTCTGTTTTTACTGAGAATTTTCGAAAAGCCTAGAAAACCTAATAATATATTCCTTGACTGGGAATCAAATCTGCGACATTGAGATTCATGCTTGCAGATAAAACAAACCAAATGTAATGAAGTTGTACCTGGATCACCGGTATTTTTATTTGTTAACATCATTTTGAGAAAATGAAACTTAATTAGATCGATATCTCGATAAATGATAAAACCCCTAAAAATTTCTAGAAAATCATTGGGATCTTTACCGAGATTTCGGACACATAGAAAACATAGTAGTTGCCTATTATCCGACAATTTACAAACATAAGTTTGTTAAATAGTGCACTTAGTGAATGCACTTTCAAAAGTTAAAAATATAACACAAATATCTAACATCCATGCCGTAACAGAGCAAACGGTTGTCATCATTCACGCACATGTTTCTGGACTTTTTGGGCCGAAGTCATAGCGATCTTATTGCATATTTTGTTGAATGCAACAAGTTCTTAAAACTTTGCTAGCTGCAGAATCTAATCACTCAGAATCACTTTGAGAGCGACCAGGAATTATAAGTGGTCATGGGCACCACATTGGCCACTTCGCCACTAGTGGTTTATCCAGGCCATCGTAGTTTTCGAAACTATTATGTCGCGTATTTATTTCAACAACCATATCAACAAATTGATCAGGATTGAACAACAAATTGAAACAAATACAGGATCTACTTAAATAAACTTGGATAAACTTACTGTTTATTTTTGTTGATCCTGTATTTGTTTTGATACTAAAACACTATAATATCATTTATCTTCCTTTATCAATGTGTTGTACATCGAGGAAGTAAACGAACAGAGAAGGTGCCAAGTATTTAGCGATCAGCGCTACCCACGGATACTCATAGCACCAGATAAGTTACAACTGTGTTGCCGGCCTCTTGAAAAGAACTACCTACGTTCTTTTCTCTTTGGTATGGAGGTTGTATCAATGTCAAGAAAGTCTCACCTTGTGTTTACCAAAAAAATAAATACAAAGTTTGTGTTTAAATTGAAATCTACAGTTGCGTGTTGACCTCTAGACATATTAAGCAATATAAATACATACCTAAGTATATTTTTAACGGTCGCTGTAATCTGAGAAATGTGTTAGACAGACTATGAAAGTATATTTACTCTAATAACGCTAGTGGTTGTGTAATCAAAAACATATCTTAAGCAAATGAAATAAAAAATATGCAGACAGACATGCAAGTTCCGCGTCTAGTAACAATTAGGAGAACGCAACAGTCTACATAGGCGACCGCATTTAAGGTTCCGGAACGAATTCTATGTAGGAAACAAAAAATATAAGAATTCATAGTTACGTTTGTGCATCAAGATGCGGAAAATCACAAAACGAACAAAAGATGTGCCATGTTAGAAAGTTACAACAGTCACCATTTGTTTTTTACAGCGAATACCAACCGCGAGTTGGTTTATTTTATTTAGTCTAATTTTATACTAGCGCTGTGCGTACTAACAATATTCTATGGTTTGCCATAGATAGGCACTTGCACAGTGATACGCAATACTGCGGACATATGTGACTATTCAGGGAACAGGACAAAATAAAACACTGTTACAAACGGTAATATTTTAAATAAAAACAGGTATAATATTAATAACAAACTCCCGTTTAAACCGGGATATATTTCACAACAACGGTTACTTAAAGCTATACCTTAGAGCTAGTATACAAACATACAGACGGACAAACACGGGTACAGTCAAACTGTAAAGCTACATACAAGACATTCGAGACAAACCTTCACAGCTTTGTAAATAACATAATGAGGATACAAGTAGTCACTGCAACAATAAATTTGAAACAATGCACGTAATACAGTAAAGATGAACAAACGAATTGGAAGAAATAATAAGTATTTCTAGTTGATATTTAGTCATAATTTGTACTACGTTCACTGCCAATCCATGTTACAACCTTATAATAATGATATGTACAGAGTTATTTGTATTAATGTGATCAGTATCCTCCGTGGCCTATGTCTGAGCCGTATGATACGTCTTCACTCTCAGCAAGGCCGTATCCTGTGTGGTCTCCACCTTCAAAGCTGACAGGAGAGTCTCCGTAACCGCCATCGCCATGAGACTCCTCTGCGGCACCCCAACCGTGACCTGGAAAACAACGAAAATCCTTCATTAAATTTAATTCACACTTTTGTCAGTATCACAAACACATAGGCAAAAAGTACCCAATTCCTTTCATATTCCTTTAGCTTCCATCACATTCATGTATTTAGTTTATATCTCGCTAGTTAGGGTTACGTTTACACCTGGTCTCTTAGCAATATTTCTCAAACAAGATCAAAATATTGTTTTCTATTCTAGACTTCTTCTACTGGCGTTACATGCGCCAACCATTTCTTATGTAAAAGGTAGTACGTATATACATCACCAACACATTTGAAATCATTAGAAAAACATTTATGATTCGAGATAAAGTTGTCATTGTTTGTAATGACAGTTTATCTCACTCTAATCGTTACTCAGTGTGAAACAAAGTGTTTTCTATCCAATCTTTGTTCTAAAATCTTAATATTACTTTAATGAGTACCCTATTGTTTTTCCTAGTCGTTGTCCGAAGTTCTGGTGTTAGTAACCTATATTTTTTATTATCATACTTTTTGCAATCGTTTTCCGTTGTTTTCGACGATTTGAATCCTTTAATTACACTCTTGTTAATATAAAGTTATTCACAAATGTCCAAAACATTATTTTACTGAGTATTTTAAAATTAACATTGAATATGAATATTTTCATTTATTAGTTTACTAACCTTACATCAATAAGAAGAAATTTGAAATGAAATTGCAA